GGCCGCTGTCTCCACCGTCCTGTCCCGTGGGCATGACAGATGGGACGGCGAGCGGGGCGGGGAGCGGAATGGAAGTGTCTGCAGAGCGAGGGCCCCAGCCTGTCTGCTGGCGGGAGGCAGTGTTTTAGTCGCTGTCGCTCACCGAGCTCGTGCTGACACCTTATTCCGTAGCCTGTGGGCAACTGTTCACGAAGCGGCTGTCAGCAAGCCCAGGCCCGCGGAGCAGGGACCCAGGCGTGCGTGAAGTGGACGCGTGCGTGGGGGCTGGAGCGTGGAGAAGCGAGGATCCGGGACAGGCCCAGGGCCGCGGGGTGCTCTGTCACCCCTTCCTGTCCCCGGGCAGCACTCAGCGAAACGCCCCCTTTCCTGCGTGGGCCTCGGGTCCCGCCCCCTCGTCGGCTTCCTTAGGACCCGCACCCACCCCAGCCCTAACCGTGACCTCAGGACCTGTGGGCAGGAGGGGCCCTTGGACAGCCCCTCTGTCCCTGTCCCAGCCTGCGGGCAGCTCTGGGCAGGAGACGGTGAGGGCCTGCGCAGGGAGCCGCGGGCTGGGCTGGGACCGCGTGACCCGCTGCAGATGCCCTCGGGGAAGGCTCCCACGCTGAGCCCGGGGCGGAGGAGACAGGCGGGTGGGTGAGGCTGGGCTTTGTGACTTCATGTCAATTGTGTGGTTTTGGACCCAGAATAACCAGCTGTCCCAGCAGGAGTCACGGCTGTGCTGGGACCAGGCCGCCTTGGCCGGGGCGAGGAAGGCTCCCATCTGCAGTGCCCCCCAAAAAGCTGTTGTGCGGAGGCACCCTGTGCCCCCGGGCTGACAGCCCTGCAAGCAAGCTGGGCGGCCGTTGGCCCCTGGCGGAGGCCTGGGCCGTCCTGGAGGGGGTGGGGCGGCGGCAGCTAAACTTGCTCCCAGAGATGCTGCTGGAGAAGGAAGTGGCCGGGTTGGAGGGAGGGGTGGGAGGACTTAAAGGGACAGTGTCCTGCGGGTGCTTGATGGACCTGCGGGCGGTGGCGTGGCGTCCCCGGCGTAGCCGCGGTCACGGGCGTGGGTTGGAATGAAGAGCACGCTGCCCCGGAGGGAGGCGCCAGCGCGCACCTGGAGACGGCTCCCGGCTCTGTGCGCCCGGCTGTGCCTGGGGAAGGCGTGGGGCTGGCGTGGCGCGTCCTGTGGCCGGGCATCGTCCGGGCGCGAGGGGAGATGCACCAAACGGGTCATCGGGACCACACGGGGCAGCGCTACTCAGTGCCAGCCCGAGTGATGGGGGAAGCGGGGGCCCCGGCTAACCCGCCGTGGCCGTCTTCTCAGTCACATCCCACACCCATTCCCCGGGCAGAGCGGGGACGGGAGAGAACAGCCAAGGGCCAGGGTCCGCGGCCACACGTCACGGCCCCTGGCTCGCGGGCTTCCCTCTGGACCAGCGGCCGCCAGCCTCGGGCCTCATGGACGCCAGCGGCCCGTGGGTGGCGACCGACGCTCTGGACTCAGCGCCTCCCCGGAAGCCCAGGGGTCTCTGTTTGGTTAATGCCTTTTTAGGGTTGAGTGTGGATGGCGTTGCCGTGTGTCCGGGGTCTAAGATGAAGCCTCTGCTGCTTCCTGGTGGCAGGAGGGTGGAGGGGCCAGGGGCGCCCGTCACCGGCTTTGAGAAGCGTGGCCGGCAGCTGGGAGTTCGCAGGATCCGCGCACCTTCCAGAAACCCGCCGAGGGGCACGGCTCAGGGCCTGCACTGCCTTTCTCTCTCTCTCTCCCTCTCTCTCTCCCTCTCTCTCTCTCGCTCTCTCTCCCTCTCTCTCTCTCCCTCTCTCTCTCACTCTCGCTCTTGCTCTTTTGAAAACCAGATACAGACATTTGTCTCAGCCTGTGAGACCGCAGAAGGTCTGAGACCGTCAGCAGTTGAAGGCGCCGAGCCAATCCCGCTGCCCGCACATGGCCGCAGCGCCCGCCCTCTCGCTGCCGCCCCCTGACAGCCACCCCCGCCCCCTGACAGCCACCCCCGCCCCCTGACAGCCACCCCCCCCCCTGACAGCCACCCCCGCTGGCCTGGGCTCGCTGCGAGGTTCCCTTCCTGGCTGGTTCCCGCCTGGTGGCCCCGCACGGCGCTGAGGAGCCATGCACCTGGCTGCATGGCAGGTTCCTGGCCCAGCGCCTCGGTCCTGTCGTCGGTGAAGCCGGTGCCCGTGGCCCTGCCTGAGTCCCCTGAGGGTTAACCAGTGGGTGTGGGGGCGGCGCTGGGAGCCGAGTCCTACACATGGGTGAGAGGCTGCAGAGTCGCCCCGACGCGTCTCGACGTCACTGCTGCGTTTGGAGCGTCTCCGTGAGGGTCTCAGGGTGCTGGTTCCACGGCACACCCCACCCCACGTCCTGTCGGCTCACGCCCCACCGTGTCCGTGCCCTGCGCCCAGTGCAGGGGGGTCTGCGCACTCTGGCCGGGGTGCTGGAGGTCTGGGGCAGGTCCTCAGCACGAGACGCGATGAGACAGCTCTCCGCCCCTCCTTCCCTCAAGGGTGCGCGTCGCAGAGGCCCGTGTGTGTGATGTCATCCCGCAGTGGCTGGCTGCAGACGTGCTCCCGTAGCCTCGTGTTTTCTGATTCTCTCAGTTTTGACCCTGATCGGTGGATCCCGGGCGTGGGGGGGCTGCTCTGTGGGAATGAGTGACGCGCAGGGGCCGTCCGCGCGGAGCCTGCCAGCCAGCTTCCGGTCCACCCGTGTTGGAGTCGGCCGTGACGAGCGCCCAGGCCAGAGGCCCAGTGGAGAAGACAGATGGCATCCACCCCCTGGAACCTGACCTGGGCGGAGAGTTCTTCGATGTGACACCAAAAGCACAGTCAGTGAGAAAGTCATTTCTGAAAAGAGTCCGTGCTGGTATCATTGAAATTCAGAACTTCCGTTCAGCTCGCTCAGCGTTTTCCCCGTGAGGACGAGACCAGAACAGTGAGGTTTCCACCTCTAAGCGCGCGTCCTGAGCACGGCTTTCTCCACATTCACTGTGTTTGGAATTTGTGAGCTTCTTGAAATCTGTAAACTTATATCTTTTACCAGATTAGGAAAGTGTTGGGCTTTTTTTACAAAAAGCGTCCTTCCTGCCCGGCTCTCCCTCTCCTATTGGGTTCCAGTTAAGGTGTAAGACCCTCTGCTGTTGCCCCACGGACACCACAGCTGCTGTCTGCTTTGTGGATCTTTTCATTTCCAAGCTCATGAATTCTTTCTGTGTCATCTCCAGTCTGTTAAGTCCGTCCACTAATTTTTTTCTTTTAGAATCTGTACATTTAACGTCTACAATTTCTACTTGGCGCTCTTTGTATTTCCTGTGTACCTGCTAAGATTTTTATGCCTTTATCCATTATAAGCATATTCCCTAGTTGAACATAATTACGACAGCTGCTTTAAAGCCTTTGTCTGGCAATCCCAGTGTCTGGGTTATTTGCGCTGCTGTCTGTGGCTGTTTTTTCCTTGAGGATAAGTGCCCTTTTCCTGGCTCTCCGCATAGTGAGTGATTCTGGGTGGCATCCTGGACATGACGCATGTTGTCGTGAGGACTCTGGGTGCTGTTCTACCCGCCAGCTAACCTGGGGTTTGCTTTAGCAGACAGTCACCGAGGTGAGACTAATGCCAGTTCTATCGTGCTGGCCCGGGTGGCGGCCGGGGGCTCACGCTTCCCGTGGGAGGCCCGGCAGTCTCCATGGTAAGCGCCGGCAGGCGGTGAGGGAGAAGGGATCTCGGGGAGGAGGGCAACAGGCAGGTTTGGTGGGGGCTCCGCAGCTCTTTCCCTCACAGCTGTTTCCTGGCCGCGTGGGAGAGGCAGGGGGTGCAGACAAAGCAGGAACACGGACAGCAGCGGGCGGACGCACTGCCTCCAAGTCCCGGATCCTGGCTTCCCCGCTGCCAGGGCTGCATGCGGGAGGGGAGGGGCCGCAGTCACGTGGCGGAGGCAGCTGCCGGAGGGGAGGTGTCTTTCTCCCTGGAGCTGCGGGTGCCTTTCCACGCTGGCCGCTCGCCTCCCAGAGCGGACGGTCCCAGTCAGCGCCCACAGCCTCCTGGGTGGGCGGGGGGGGGGGGGGGTGTGGGGGGGGGCTGCATCTGCTCAGCGTGCTCTGTGCTCTGTGCTCCAGCAGGAAGACTGTCCCACCCTCAGACAAGTCAGCCAGAGGCCTTGCTGTAGAGCGGGAGGCTGGCCCTTCCCGAAAGGAAGTGGACTCTGGGTGCTTCCCCTGGGCCCACTGGGACCAGGGGGGAAGATCCGTCAGAGCTGGGTCCTGTCCTCCGGCTCCTTTTCCTCTTTATGAGCCACAGCTCGGCGTGACCTCGCTCCTCCCACTCGTTCCCTCCGAGGTCTCGATGGCGCTGCCGCGGGTGCGGGTCGTGCCCCTTGCTTTTCCCAAGGCACAGCCGCCTCCCGCAGAGCCTCAGTGAAGGAGCAGAGCCCTCGGCCGCGAGAGCCCTGGGCCGCGAGAGTCCTCGGCCGCGAGAGCCCTGGGCCGTGAGAGTCCTCGGCCGTGAGAGCCCTGGGCCGTGAGAGCCCTCGGCCGTGAGAGCCCTGGGCCGTGAGAGTCCTCGGCCGTGAGAGCCCTGGGCCGTGAGAGCCCTGGGCCGTGAGAGCCCTGGGCCGCGAGAGTCCTCGGCCGTGAGAGCCCTGGGCCGTGAGAGTCCTCGGCCGTGAGAGCCCTGGGCCGTGAGAGCCCTCGGCCGTGAGAGCCCTGGGCCGCTAGAGTCCTCAGCCGTGAGAGCCCTGGGCCGTGAGAGCCCTGGGCCGTGAGAGCCCTCGGCCGCGAGAGCTGGGCTCCAGTGACCTCTCACAGTGCGCATCCCTGTGGGGTGTGCGCTCCCGCCATCCTCCTCCTCAGGGAAACGTGTGGTGCTTTTCACCGACCGCTTCCTCCAGATACGCCTCGTACCCCGCGATGCCACTGACTCGGTGGCCCAGCACATCGCCCTCGCGAGCTCTCCTGTCGGCCGGGCTGGGTTCCGCAGCCGACACTGAGCTCGGGCTGTTCTTCCTCCGCGACAGGGCGAGTCGGTGAAGTACTTCCTGGACAACCTGGACCGGATCGGCCAGCTGGTGAGTACAGACCCGCCCGCGGCTGGAGAGCAGCGCAGCCCCGGCGGCTGGGGCTTCGCTGGACTGAGGAGCCGGCTGCTGCGCCCGGTGGCCGTGGAGAGGACGAAGCCACGGCCGTGCTGGGAAGGGCCACCCGTTCCCGTGAGGGCACTCCACTCCTGTCCATAGACCGCCAGTCCTGCTGACTCACACGGGAGGCGGTGTTTCTGCTGAATCCCTTCGCCCAGACCCCGTCGGGGAGGCGGGCTTTGGAACTTTTTATTGTGGAAGATTCAAACATGTACCAACATAGAGTTAATGAGCCCTGGCTGGTCTGGCTCAGCAGATAGAGCGTCGGCCTGCGGACTCGAGGGTCCCAGGTTCGATTCTGGTCAAGGGCACGTACCTCAGTTGCAGGCTCTGGCATTAGGCAACCAATCGATGTGTCTCTTTCAAAGCGATCTTTCCCTCTCTCTGTCTCTCCCCCTTCCACTCTCTCTAAAAATTAGGGGGAAAAGATCCTCAGGTGAGGATTCACAACAACAGCTAACTGATTAATTAATTTTAAAAAGAAAACTGCTTTAAAAAAAGTCCATGAAACCCCAGGTTGAACAGTGATCACTTGTGGTCGGTCTTGTTCCGTCAGCCCCACCCCTCCCAGGAACATGCCCATTGTTATGTATTTCACTGATAATACGTCAGAGCCTGTCTCCGAAAGGTAAGACTTCAGAAGCCAAAGCCACACACCACCGTCGCTCCCGGAAAACAGCAGCCATTCCGAACGCCAGCGGCCGGGCTTTCCGGCTCTCGCGGCGCGTCTGTGTGGACGCCGCCACTCCCGCCGCCAGTCAGCGCCCTCACAAGCCCACGCGGCAGGTCCCTCGCTCGGACCGCTTCCCCTGCGGCTTCTCGCTCCGGCCCCGCTCTCCCTCGCTGACGTGCCAGGAGTGTCTCTCCCTGCGGGCTCCCGCCCACCTGCGGATTGGTGGCTGGTCCTGAGGCGTCGCTGTCCCTGTCGTGTTTGGGGAGACTGCAGCCTGAGCACCCACCTGGGGGTCACGTGGGTCGCAAAGGGGTGACTCCGGGCCCTGAGACTTCCCACGCCCGCCTGCCCGCGGCTAAAGCCCTGAAGCTCCCGTCCAGGAACACCCTGGAGTGTGCTGGTTCCCAGCGAGGCTTGGGATGCATTTCCTCTGGAAGTTAGGGGAGTAAACGGTAGCTGTGGCGCAGAAACAAAAATAGACGGCTTGTTCCTGTGGTGAAGACAGAGGGCAAGGTGTTCCCCGTACCTGCCCCTCCCGTGACTCCCTCAGGCGGCAGCAGCCCCCAGCCCGCTGGTCCCAGCACCGCTCGTGTTCTACCAGCCAGTGTGGCCTTTGGTATTTGGTGCGACTTCTCCAAGCCCCTGGGACTGTCTCTTCTCCCGGCCCCTGTTCCCTGCCCTCTCTAAGCTCTCCTCCCCCTTCCCTAAGCTCTCCTCCCCCCTCCCTAAGCTCCCGCCCCCCTGTCTTGCAGAACTACTTCCCCAGCAAGCAGGACATCCTGCTGGCCAGGAAGGCCACCAAGGGCATCGTGGAGCACGACTTCGTGATCAAGAAGATCCCCTTCAAGATGGTGGACGTGGGCGGCCAGCGGTCCCAGCGGCAGAAGTGGTTCCAGTGCTTCGACGGGATCACGTCCATCCTGTTCATGGTGTCCTCCAGCGAGTACGACCAGGTGCTCATGGAGGACCGGCGCACCAACCGGCTGCTGGAGTCCATGAACATCTTCGAGACCATCGTCAACAACAAGCTCTTCGTCAACGTGTCCATCATCCTCTTCCTCAACAAGATGGACCTGCTGGTGGAGAAGGTGCGCAGCGTCAGCATCAGCAAGCACTTCCCCGACTTCCGCGGCGACCCGCAGCGGCTGGAGGACGTGCAGCGCTACCTGGTGCAGTGCTTCGACCGCCGGCGCCGCAACCGCAGCAAGGCGCTGTTCCACCACTTCACCACGGCCATCGACACCGAGAACATCCGCTTCGTCTTCCACGCCGTCAAGGACACCATCCTGCAGGAGAACCTCAAGGACATCATGCTGCAGTGAGGCCCGCCCTCCTCCTGGCCGCCGGCGCTGCGGGCCACCGCGGGACCGCGGCCGCCACGAGCTACTGAATCCGGGAAGGTGCACTACTGAGCTCCGAGCAGCCGGTGACCGCTGTCGGGCCGCGCGGCTTTCCACAGGTGCCACGGCCGCGCCCCGTGTGTGTGTGTCCGCGTGCGTGTGCGCAGGTGCGTGCGCGTCTCTGCCACCAGCACAGACCGCCCACCCGCCTCCCCCTGACCCGCAGGCCTCCCTGCCGCCGACCCGGAGCCCCGCCTCGCGGTAGGCGGCCCAGAGGGACCGCGTTGCCTTTTAAAGCTCCTGTGCCCCGTCCCAGAGCCCAGCCTTGGGGGCGGGTGGGCTCCGGCCTGTCGTGCCTTAATGCCCGGGCGCTGTCCTCCTGCTGTCGCCTGGCCCGTCGCATGGACAGGGCTCGTCCCTCCACACAGCGCCCGCTGGTGCTCATCACTCCCGACCGCCCTGCCCTGCCACCCCTCCCCCGCAGGCACCCCCTCCCCCGCAGGCACCCCCTGCAGGTGGTGCCCCTCCGCGTGCCCTGTGCCTGCAGCTTCGGGAGCTGCAGGGTGAGCGCAGCCCGTGGCCTGCACGCGGCCTACGCACCGCAGACACTGGCCTCAGGAAGCCCCGGCCCCACACCAACCTGGGTCCTGCAGACGGCCGCCACCCCAGTGCCCCTCACAGCCGGTCCCTTCTCAGGCCGCCTGCATCGGGGCCTGTCCAGGCCCTGCCTCTAGGGTCCACACCACGTGCTCCCAGCTCAGGGGCAGGAGCTGCGGGCCCCGTGGAGACCCCCCCCGCCGGCGCCACACTGCGGCGCATCGCCTTCACTGCCCGTGCGGGTCCCTCCACTGCGGTTCCGGGGGCAGGGCTCACCTCGCACCTGAGAGAAAAGGAAAGCGCTCCTGGCTAGCCGGCAGCAGAACTCACTGGCCTCGTCACGTCCCGGGCCCCTGTCCCAAGGCCACCCTGGGCCCCTCCTGTGTCCCTTTGCACCTCCCTCGGCTCCGTGTCAGCAGGCCCGGCCGCCGTGGGTCTGGGGCAGGGGCTGACCCAGAGGGAAGGGTGGCCGCCTGCTCCTGAGTCGCCTGTCACTGTGTTCAGTGAGGAGACGCGCTGAGGTCGGCTCTGGTGAGAAGGTGCTGTTTGGGGGCTGCCGCTGCGGCTCTCCACCAGCTGAGGCTGCGGCCCAGGACCGGCCGTGTGGCCTGGAGGGGAGGAGCACAGGGCAGCTCGGGCAGGCGGGTCTGAGGTCGGCTCGCCTTCGGTGACGGGGCGCCGGGTCTCAGGTGTGAGGAGCAGGCTGGTCCTCCCCGACCGGGAATCGGGGCTCAGGAGCGGCGGCTGGGTCCTGCCCCCCCCCCCCGTCAGGTCCTGAGCGCTTTGCCTCTAGCCAGGCTGACCCGTTGGCGCCTCACGTTCATGTGAGTGTGAGGGACTGTGACCGCGGTGAGCGGGGCAGGATGGCCAGGACCCCGACCAGCTCGGCCACCCCTCGCCCCTGTGGGCTTCTCGCTGCGCCCAGGTGTCCCCAGCCGAGGAGGGCGTGCAGGCGCTGCTCCGAGTCCTGGGAGGCGCCTGACCGGAGAAGGTCCTGTTTGTGAGGCTGAACTAAACCATTTACAACTTTCTACACATAGACTAGTCCTTGTCTCGGAAGCCGCGGCTTTTGTAATTTTTTATCTTAATTTCACTGTCACCCTTGAATATTGTCTTTTGTATTGAGATGCTGGAGGAGCAGGAGATAGTGGTGCCTCATCTATTATTGCAAAAATGTAACAATAAACTTCCTCAAAGAAGACGTGTTCCTCCCGCTTACGCTGTCCACACGTGGGGGTTGCTCAGGTTTTAACGGCTGTTTGCAGAGATCGTTTCGGAGATGCTGGGTGACGGCTTTGCGACGGCAGCACTCGCGTGCGTTTCTTGCCTTGAGTCGGGTTATGAACTCCCAGAGCAGGCGCTGGTCTGGAAGCAGGGCCCTCGGCGTGGCTGTGACGCCCGCGGGTGAGCGCCCCGTGAAGACGGTGTCCGCGTGGGCTCCAGCCGGCCCTTCGCACCGGATCAGCACGGCTGCGAGCGTCTGGTTTGCCGTGTGACCGCCTCCGGGCTCTCGGAGTTTATTAAAATAAATCCTTAGTTTTCCTTTGCTCAGTGGAGAATACCGCTCAGCCCGGCCAGCATGCTCAGGGGTTGAGCATCTACCTGAAAACCAGGAGGCCACGGTTCAATTTCCGCTCAGGGCACCTGCCCCGGTTGCAGGCTCCACCCCCAGTGTGGGGCCTGCAGGAGGCAGCCAATTCATGATTCTCTCTCATCATGGATGTTTCTCTCTTCCTCTGAAATCAATAAAAGTACATTTTTTTAAAAAAAAAGAAAACCACTCAGCACTCAAAACCAACATTAAGTTTAATTTCAGACCCAAAAATTCAGACCAGGGCGTTGATGCTGGTTTGCTTGCGGGCTCACTGTGGTGATCACAGTTTCACTCCACGTGCTAAACAGGCCGGCCGCACGGGTGGCTGGCACAGGTGCTGCTGGGAACGAAGGCCTCCAGGCACAGCTTCCAACGGGCAGGCGTGGCGCGACGCCCCCAGCAGGTGACAGCTGGCTGCGCGGGATCCGCTGTGGAACGAGGGCGAGAGGCTGTCGCGTGCTGGCCGTTTCCCCCGACAGACTGAGGCAGGAGCAGCCGTGGAGGGAGGTGGCCATGGTGCCTCCCGCCCAGCTGCCCCCGGCCACCTGCTTCCCCTGCCCCAGCAGCTCCTCCCGTGCCCGGCTGGGCCGGTGGAGGCCTACACTCGACTCTCATTTCAGACAGGTGTGACCTGAGGCAGGTGGTGAGGACCGGGAGGCTGGGTCGCCCTGGTTGCTATAAGCGCAGGGGAGAGGGATGCGTGGGCTCCAGACGCACCGAGGCCGCCCGGGGGCTCCTGCTCTCTGGCCTCCTGTTGGCAGATGAGTGTGCCCCCAGGTGTTAGGACCAGACCCCACTGACCACGGGCCACTGAGAGACTGTACACACGGACACGCGGGGAGAACAGCACGGTGCTGAGTGTCCGGGAGCCCACAGGGATGCCGCGGTGGCCTCGCTGAGGTGACGGTGACGCTGTGGTCTGGGCAGAAGCTGGTACGGGTGGGGGACGCGTGCAGGAGAGATGTGCTTGAGATGTGAGTGGTGTCTGGAGGCCAGGAGCCAGGGTGGCAGGGCCTGCGGGGGCAGAGGGGCCCCGGGGGACGGGCCGAGAGCCCGGGACGCCAGGCCTGGCCCAGCTCCACACAACACAGTGGATTCAAGTGCTCAGGCGATGGCCTCACGTGGGACCGGCCGACTTGGTTTCTGGTTGGCTGGTTGAGAGCCTGGCGTCCTGTGGGGAGTGGGGGGGCGGGGGGGACACAGCCGGCCTTGCGGGCCCTCCGGGGGCCACTCCTCAGGCCGAGGAGGCGGACACTGCGTTCGGGCGCCTCTGCTGAGCCGGCCCTGGGCCGCCTGGCCTTCATCACAGCGAGGAACTGGGTGGACACGGAGTGGACGTTTCTTGGGAACTGCTTTTTAAAATAGCCCCTGCCGGCTTGTTTTCATTTGCCTCTCTGCCCAAGAAGCTGGTCTAAAAATAAACCTGTTATTCCGGGTTCTCGTTAATCAAGGTGCTCAGGCCGGGGGTGCTGCTGGCCGTTTCTCCCTGGTTTACGGGGCTTTCGGCAGCTCTTCACGGGCAGCTTGGCGAAGCGGAGGCGTTTCCTGGCTCGTTCCCAGGTTGAGCTTTCCCGGCCCTCATTCCAAGGGCCATACACTGGCCATAAGCTGGTTTCCTTGCAGTGGGTTCCTCTGTGTTCAGTGGCCCCACTGGAGCCAGGACTAATCCAGCTCCACTAGGACCCGCGGGCCGGGGGGGGACAGTGCAGAGACCAGGCCTGTGCTGGCTCCCGGGCCCCCACTGGGGTTCCTGTGCCTCCCCAGGGAAGCCCTGCTCCTCCCGGCCTTGGGATAAAAATATTCCTGCTGGGACTCGCCCTCTCTGTGCAAACAGGGCCTCCGAGCCGGCAGGTGGGGCCTGTTTAGGTTGGCACCTTCGCCCGAGGCTGGCCACCCACCCGGCCGCTGGGACCTCCAGAGTCTGGGGGAGGTGTCAGGACCAGGCCGGGCAGGGCCGAGCGGCTGCCGGGAGCCGGCTGTGTCTCCCACCTGGGGCCTCCTTCCTGCTCAGACTGGCCAGGTGCTTCCCTAAGAAAGACCCAGAGCTCAGGGTCGGTGCCAACCAGGCTGCTCAGCAGCCCCCAGGCCAGCGGGGCCTCCTGGGCCACAGCAGGGCATCGCCCGGTGGGCGCCTGTAGACTCAGGGCTGATGGTGGCCAACGCCCAGGGACGGATGGAGACAGGCCTGCTCCGGGCAGTGTCTGCAGGAGAGATGCCATCCTCCCCGAGGAGGGGTTCCAGCAGCCGCCCGGCCCATCGGGTCTGCAGAGCCGCTGCGTGGCCGTGCTGGCCCTTCCGTGCGCTGCGCCCAAGCGCGGTGGCCGCTCCTTTGAACTCGGTGGCCGTCACTGGACGCGGAGCTGTAACATTAGCCGGTGGCTAAGCCGGTGCTGATTGTTTCCTTTAAGCCCTTTTGGAGATTTATTTCCTCCCAGGAAAGGCTGAATCAGATGTCCCAGGGCCGGTATTAGCAAGGGCCACGTGGGAGCAGGCCTGTGGCCCCCAGAAAGGGGGTCAGCTCTGGCTGCTGGGGGACACCTCTCAGAAAGCGGCGGTGGCCACGCAAAACCCTAAGCCTAAGCCAAGTTTTCATTCAAATGCCCTCTGACCTCGCCCCGTTCCAGCGAGCGACCTTCTGCAGAAGAAGGAAAGGAGAAGCGGTCAGATTAGGTCGCAGGGCCGTGGCCCCTCCAGCAGCGGACGGGAGGGGCGGGTTCTCCCAAATGTTTCCCATCTCCCCTGCGCTGGGCGCACCTCGCCATCCTCCGTGGGCGGGTGGGTCTTACTAGACGTGGACACGCCTCCCGCAGCCCATCCGGAAAACCAGCACCGCCTCCTGGAGGCGGGCCCTGCGGCCAGGCTCCGCCCACACCGCGGGCTCCAGGCCCTGGGCGGCGGGCGGGGTGGGGTGTGGGGGGGGCGGGAGGGTGTGGGCGGCGGGGGGGGGTGGGGGTGGGGTGGGGTGGGTGTGGGGGGGGGGGGGGGGTGTGGGGGGGGGGGTGGGGTGGGGTGGGGTGGGGGTGGGGGGGGGGGGGGGGGGGGGGGGGGGGGGGGGGTGGGGGGGGGGGGGTGGGGGGGGGGGGGGGTGGGGGGGGGGGGGGGGGGGGGGGGGGGGGGGGGGTGGGGGGGGGGGGGGGGGTGGGGGGGGGGGGGGGGTGGGGGGGGGGGGGTGGGGTGGGGTGGGGGGGGGGGGGGGGGGGGGTGTTGGTGGCGCTGAGCTTTTACAATTCACTGGGGATATGATGCCCCTGCGGTGCCTCACGCCGCCGGCAGAGGGCAGCACGGCCTCGCGGGCTGGAGGACGGGAGCGCCCGCCTGTGGGGCTGTTGGGGCTGCCCTCCCTGGGGGGCAATGCGCCCGCAGAGCAAGGCCACACGGGGGACCACGCCATCGCCACCACGCGGGGAGGGAGCCTTCGTGATGCAGACCCCGGGTGAGGCCGCGAGCGCCAGGTCAGGGCCCTGCACCGAGCAGCACCCTGTGAACCTGGCCCTTGTGGACGGAAGGACAGACGGGCGGACAGCCGCCTCCCGTCCCTCCTCCTCCCCACGCTGCCTGCCCAGGCTCCAGGCTCAGGCTGCAGTAAGACCTGGGGGGCTGGACACGCCGCCCGGGCTCGGCACCCGGGGCCACAGTGCAGTCCGCTCACACCGCCCCCTCCCGGCCTGGGCGCCACCAGGGGGGCGGCTCACCCTGTCCCTCTCTGAGCTGGAAGCCCAGGACGAGCTGCAGCTTCCGCAGGGCCTCGTCCAGTGGCAGCGCCTCAGGCCCAGCAGGTGGCCGCGTTCAGGGCCCGTGACCTGAGGGGCAGCCACTGCTGTCCTTGCAGCCTGGACTCCTGCTGCCCAGCGCAGCCCCCGGGACCCTGAGCGCCCTGGGTGAGGCCGGGTGGCCAGGAAGTGGCCTGAGTGATCTCAGGGAGTCAGGGGACAGAAGTCGGGCCAGACCTGCCCAAGTCGGGGTGTACGGAAGGCCCCCCACCTTAAACTGGACACTGAAGGGCTGTGCTCTGAGGGTGGGAAGGGGTCAGAGTTCAGCCCGCTGCACAGCCGGGAGCGTGTCCCAGACAGGAAGCCCGGCCCGCGGACGGCACCGCGAGGGGCTGTGCAGCGGCAGCAGGTGGCCCGACTGCTCCCCCTCCCACCCTCGGCCTCTGCACCCGTCATCTGCCGCGTGTGCCACGTGACCTGAGCCTGTGCCGGGACTGTCGGTGGCGGATGTGACCACGGGAGGCTGAGCCGGCCCTGCCTGCCTGAGCTAAACCCACTCGGTCAGGACAGGGAATCGACTGACAGGTCGCTGGATTCCGCATTTTGTCGGGGATTTGACGTCTGTGTTCATGAGAGAGGGAGGCCTCCCTCCCTTTCTGGGACCGACTGTCTGGACTTGGTGTGAGGGTGATGCTGGCTTCGGTGAGCGAGTCAGGAAACAGCCCAGTTCTACCTCCAGAAGCAATTGCAGAGAATGGGTGACCGCAGCCGCCTGGTGGAATTCACCAGGGACCGTCTCGGCCGGGGGCTGATTTGGAATGTTAATCCCATCCCGTTAGCAGCAACAGGTCTGTTAAACCAGCTCCTTCTGTGTGGGTCTCGGCCGATTGTCCGTTCATCTCGGTCATCAAAGCCGTGGGCATAGGGTGCTCACCGCATTCACTCCCCTCCCCGTGTCCGTGGGCCGGGTGCTGGCCCCTTCCATTTCCCACCCTGGTGATGCCTGCCGGCTCCTTCTCGGCGTGGCTAGAGGCTTACCAATGCCTCGATCTGCTGGCCAAAGAACCAAGCTTGTGGTTTACATAAGCTCTCTTGGTTTCCCGTTTCCAGTTTGACTTCTGCTCTTTTATTATTTCTTTTCCTCTACATTTGGTCGTTTCCCGGTTTTCCGAAGGTGGAAGGTCGCTGACCTGTGGATGTCCCCAGCGTGAGCACGCGAGGCTGAGCCCCCACGCACCCTCCTGCTGCGTCCCCGTCACGGTGTTTCCTCCGGGTCCAGTCATCTCCGAGTGTCTCCGGACCCTTCTCCTCTGATCCTGCCTGAGCACTGGGTGCTCACGCTGGGAGGGAAGGGCAGCCGGGCCTGCCCGGTTCCGAAAGGCACCTGCTCGGCCAGCCTGGACCTCAGCTCCCCAGACGTGACCACGGCAGCGCCACCTGCCCGGGGGAGGCGGTGAGCCGAGTCTCTACACGCTCAGGGCGATCCTGGGGGTGGAGGCTGAAGCCCGGCCGTGGTTGGACCGGGGCCACTATCATGAGGAGCCAGGGCCCAACACCAGGCCGTGTCCAGGCCGCGCTGCATGCTCTGACCCTTGGTTATCCCAGAGGCCCCGGGGCCCAAGGGCACACCCGCAGGCCAGAGGGAGGAGGCTGCCACAGGAGGTCCCTCCTCGTCCCTCCTCGAAGCCTCACCTGGCCGGCGTCAGACAGGGCACTGACTCAGCGGCCTGCCACCGGTACTGATTTTTAGTAGAAAATAAGCCATTTAATAACACTTCCAAACACGTGACTGGCCCGCTGGTCTTCCCAGGCCTGGCTCCCGAGGGTCCCTGTGCAGCCGGCCGAGCTGGGCCCGGGCTGAGGGAGGGACAGGGCCCAGCAGCAGAGGGACAGGGCAGGGAGGTCGCTGGGGGGCAGGGAGGTTGCTGCGGACGGCTCAGTAGCAGTCGGCCTCGTTGTCGCCCAGGATGCCCACGGTGGCCAGCATGTCCTGCAGGAGCGACTGGGGGTTCCTCTCCACGTGGTCACTGCTCTCGGCCAGTGCCCCCCGGAGGCCCTCCAGGTCCATGGACCGCAGCACGGCCAGCACGGCCTCAGGCTCCAGGGGCCCCAGGGGCTGGCCCTGCTCGCCCGCCCGCCACCTCCGCAGGGCGGCCTCCACGGAGGCCACGTCGGGGCTGCCCCTCGCCTCCTGCAGGCTGTCCCAGGGGGCAGCCTGGTCCCGCAGGAAGAGGAGGAGGTCACAGGACTTCTGGGCCACGGGCCGGTCATAGTCAAACAGGGCGCGGAAGGCGAACTCGACGAGCTGCACGCGGCAGGCGGCCCGCAGGGCCTGGGCCACACGGCCAGGGGCGGCGGCCTCCGGGGCGGCCACGGCATAGGGACAGCGGGAGCCGGGCTGGCCCAGCGTCTGCTCCAGGAACACCCGCGCCAGCTCCAGGCCCTGGGCCCGGACCTCCCAGTCCAGGTCCCGGCTGGCCGCCTGGAGCACCCGGGCCACAAAGCGCTCCGTGTCCTCAGCCACCTCGGCGTGGCCGTCCCGCAGCCACTGGGTGAAGACCTGCATGGCCGCCCTGCGGGGGAAGCCCTCCGAGTCCGCGGCCAGCACGTGCAGCAGCTCCGGAAGCAGGCTCTTCTGCAGGACAGGAGGCGTGGGAGGGTCGGGGGGCGAGCGCCCACGCGGGGTGCAGGGAGAGCCCCCAGAACCCGCCCACAGGCCTCAGGCTGAGCACGTGCCCTCGCCCTGTATGTGCTCATCTGTCAACCGGGGAGGGGGGCCACATCCATGCGATGGGGTGCTGGGAGCTGAGGGGGAGACCCGGGGGGGCCGGACAGAGCCCTGCCCCAGGCTGCCACGCTCGGCAGGTCCCAGGCCCAGCCGCCGCCTACCTGCGGGCCTCCCGGGTGCTCAGGGCCGGCGGGGGTGGCGGGCAGCCCTCGGCTGGAGAGCTGCCCCACGGCGGTCACTGCACTGGCTCGGACGTAGCTCTCGGGGTCCTGCAGGAGCTGCTGCGCGAGCTGGGGCACCTCGGACGCCAGGAGCGCGTGCCTGAAGCCGGCCTGTCCTGAGGGTGCGAGCGCCACAGCCGCGGTGACCCAGAGCTGACCCTGCAGCCTCGCTGGTCCAGGCTCCAAAGCCAGCCAGGGTGACCAGTGTAGGTGCCACTGCAGGGCCCGCCCTCCCCCCCGCCCTCCACCCCGCCCTTCCCCCCGCCGCCTGCACTCACCTGCCCAGCATCCGACCACCTGGGTCAGGAACTCAAGGCCCGAGTCCCTCACCTCCCAGCAGGGGCTGCACAGGCGCCTCTGCAGCACAGGGAGAAGCTCTGGGGCGGGAGGGGGGTCAGAGTGGCCCGCGCCTGCCCGCCCCCTCCGAGCCCCCCAGCCCCGCCCAGCCCTGCGGCTCCCCAGGTGGCCTGTGGGAGGCCGGGTTACCTCTGAGGAGCAGCTGGGTGGGGGGGTCCAGGTCGCAGCAGCCCGGGGGCGTGCGGGCGCTCAGGAGCCACCGCAGTGTGGCCTGGAAGGCCTTCTTCAGAACCTGGGGAGGGCGGGGCTGCAGGCCGGGAGGGGAGACCCTGCCCCGCCCACCCGTGCCCCTGCCCCGCCCACCCGTGCCCCTGCCCCTGCCCCTGCCCTGGGGGTCAGATGGGCTGTGGGAGGGCACACTGGGCCTGTCTCCAGGAGCCCAAGCTTCAGGAAGCAGAAGGGGCCTCCAGATGAGAGAGAGGAGGGGAGGGCAGAGGCAGCCTCGTCAGGACCTCACTCCTGGGGACACACAATTTCTGCCCAAGACACGAGAACTACAGGGCGCCTCTGCCTCAAGCCCAGGGACCTGGGGCCTCGCCCACTCCCACTGCCGCTCAGGGCGAGTGTGGAAGTCACTGAGCCCCACCAGGCCCCGGCTCAGCCGCGGGGCTATGAGAACGGTGCGTCTGCAGGGAACACCAGGCACCGGCACAGGGTCCCCGGCTCTGTGCCACCTCTCCCGCGAGAACCGTGCGAAGCCCGCCCCTCCTGCCTCCCTGCCCAGCGCCCAGCGCCCATTCCACTCGCCAGGCCCGGCAGAACCCGCAGTCGCCTGCCCCTGGGAACTCCCTTGGGAAGCGACTGGCCTGCTCAGAGGCCTGCAGGGCGCCCCTCCCCCGCCCCTCCCCCACCCCCAGGCCTGCACCCCAGCCTGTACCGTGGGGCTGGAGTCGGGGCTCTGGAGGTAATCCAGGAGGACGGCAAACACCTGCGTCACCAGCTCGGGGGGCCCTGGGACAGACATGGTGGGTGGAACCCCCACCTCCCGCCCGCCCGGGGCTCCCAGAATCCAGCACAGGGAGGGCCCCTCCCCCGCCCTAAGACAACAGGCCCAGAGCGTCCTGAGCAGCGAGGGAAGGGCGGCCTGTGGGACCTGGTCAAGCCGAGCCGCTCGCGCAGCATCCTCGCTCACCTGTGTCCGCAGACAGCGCCCCCAGGAAGCCGAGGGCCGCTCGCTGGACGCGGACGCAGCCGGCCAGGATGGCACAGAGGCGGCCCCCCACGTCCGAGCCGGAGGCGGGCACCGCTGAGCCATTGCAGAACCGCAGGACCGTCACCGCGGCCCCCAGCAGGGGCGCCTGGGGCCAGGGCGCGGGGCGCTGGGGCTGCAGGAGGAGGGGGGTCAGCGCGGCCGAGGCTGCTGCCTGCTGCCCTGGGGACGCAGGCCGGGGCCACACCTACCAGGGGCTGCAGCAGCTCCAGGTGGGCCAGGGTCTGGCACAGGAGGCCCACACAGGCCGACCGGGAGGACAGGAGCGCATCTGCCACCGCCGGGTCACCCTCGGGCCCGGCCGGCAAGCCTGCGGGCGACCAGAAACAGGTCCCGTCAGCGGGGTCCTGCGGGCCGCACAGGCCTCGCCACCTGTCACCAACCCCCCGCCAGCCCCCCGCCAGCGACTAGGAGGGAGGTTCCAAGCAGGGGCTCATCAGGTGACCTCAGCCAACCAGGCTGGGCCTGAGCCTGGCCCCGGGCTCCCCAGGTCGAGGCCCCGCCGTCCGCTGCCCATCCTGGAGCGGCTCCTGCGTCGGGAGCTCCTCTCTAGGCCCGACAGCCCGCAGGGCACCCTGGTCCTTCTCCACCCCAACCCGTCATGAGGCCCAAGTGGCAAGTCCCAGAGCCCAGCCGGGCGGGCGAGGCGGCTGCTCTGTGCCACCGTGGCGCCCACTGGGGCGACGCGCCCACTGACTGGGGTGGGGACGGGAGGACGGGAGCAGCAGAGCTGGGTGGCCCGTCCCGTCCTTCACCCCTGGTTGGGGTGGCACCCGCTGCCCGCCAGCCTCCCTGACCGAGGTCCGTCCCCCCACGTGGGTCTGTCCTTCCCAGCGGTACCTGGGGGCCCGGGGGCCTGCGTGGCAGCCTTCAGGACGCAGGCCAGGGGCTGGAGGAGGACGGTGAAGGCCTGGGCGCTCAGGGCCTGGGGACTGAGGACCGAGGGTGCGGTGAGCGGCTGCCTCGAGCGGCCCAGCCGGGGGCAGAGGGGGGGTGCCAGCACCTGGACACGCCCTGAGAGGCAGCTTCCCCACAGGCACCTCGACAGGTAACCAGGCCCTTGGCGGGTGGGGGCAGTGGGAGCAGCTAGGACATGCCCACGGCCTGGACAGTGCTGCTCAGGCCATGGACAGCGAGGCCCCGCCCGCCCCCCAGGAGCCCGCGCTCACCAGTCCTGCAGCGTCAGGAGCCCCAGAGCCAGGGGCCCTGCGTGTGCCGGGCTCAGGCGGCCCAGAGCCTGCGCCACCGTCTCCCACCGGCTGCGGTCGGAGCTCAGCGCAGGGGACCTGCAGAGAAGGACCCAGCAAGAGACGTGAGTCCTGCCCTCCCCCGAGGCCACGCGGTGCCCAGCGGGGCTGCCATGCCCACAGCTGCTGTGCCCAGCGGAGACGCAGGTCCCTCCAGGGGCGCAGGCGTCCAGACCCTCCGGTGACCGCTCTACTCCCGGCCTATCAGCCGCCCTGAGGCTCCCAGGAAAACCAGCGCCCCTCTGCCCCCTCCTGACCCGGGGCTGACCGGGCGGCGCTGAGGAGGAGGTCCACCAGCGAGTGTGCGGCTGGCACAGGGTCCTTCTCGAGCAGACAGGCCGCCAGGGGACTCAGCCGCGCCCAGAGCACCTGCGCCCACAGCTGGTGGCAGTGCCCGAACGTGGTGGTCAGGACGTTGAGGGCCTGCGTGACCCGCGGGGCAGCGGGGGAGCACAGGGACTCCTCGATGTGGCCCACGATCCTCTGGGCACTGGCCGGCCAGTCGCACACCTGGGGGCCGGGGGAGCCCTCGGCCTGGCCCCGCAGAGACAGGCCCAGGAGGTGCGCCAGGAGCTGCCCAGCCGCCGAAGCCACGAACAGGCTGGAGTCTCCCTGCAGGGAGACCACGGTGTCCAGGGCACCTGGGGGGGAGACGGCTCAGCGAGACGGGGGACCGTGGGAACCCACACCACGCAGCTCCCTCAGCCGCGGCAGCACCTCGGGGAGAGCTGGCGCCATAGCCGAGGGGCCAGCGGAGGCCCAGCGTCCTCTGCTCCGGAGCCCAAGAGCCCAAGCTGAGCGCCGCCGGTCAGCACCGGACACTGCCGGGCATTAAACCCACAGCGCCCCCGGCCCTCCTAGCTGGTTCCCAAGCCGCCCGCCGGCTCTCAGCCGTGGCAAGGGCGCTCCCACTCTCGAGGGCCTCCAGCCCTGGTCACCCCAGGGCGCCTCACACAGCCCGACACCCCTCCCGCCGCCCGCGGGCGGGTGCAGAGGTCTCTCGGGGGGCCTCGCAGCAGCGGCATGGCGAGCGGGGAGGCACTCACCGAGGTCGGCCAGGAAGTGCAGGGCGCTGGGGTGCTGGGCCAGCGAGCGCAGGCCCTGGATCCAGCCGCTGCGCACAGTGGGCGCCGTCCAGGCCGCTCCGCCGAGGGGGCCCGCCTCCCCGAAGAGCCCAGGCAGCAACTCCCCCTGCTGGAGGGAGAGGGAGTGGGCCCTGGGCAGCTGGCTCCTGGGAGCCGTAAACAAAGGCTCGTCCATCCTGCCTCATTTCAGGGATCCCCCCAGAGCGGCACCCCCAGCGGCACCTCCACAGGCCCACCTCTGCCAGGACATCCTGGCTTAAGGACCCCCTGGTCTCCTGGCCCCGGCCTGGGGGGCCATCAGGGCACACCCACCCCCAGCTGTCCCCACCTGGATGCCCCCGCACACCCGGGGGGTCAGGCTGTCCCCGGCCCCATGCAAACCCCTTGCAAGACAAGCCACTGCGGAGACTTGGGGTGTGACAGCCACCCCTGCTTCCGGCACCTGCCGGGGCAGACGGCGGGCGGCCGGCGGACAGGCTCACCTGCAGGAACTGGAAGCAGTCCTCCTGGGCGGCGAGCAGGCCCGCCAGGCGGAGCGAGAAGGCGAGGACACGGGGACTCAGGCCCGGGGCCTTCGGCACCTGCAGCAGCAGCTCCACCAGGCAGGGGCTGTCCTGCAGCAGCTGCAGGCTGGACCCTGGACAAGGGCCAGCGGGGCCGTCACCGCACAGCCACGCGTCCCGAGGGCTGCTCTCCCGGCCGGCAGCTCCCACCCCCTCTCAGGCCTTTAGATGGAGCAGCTAACGGGAGGACATGTTTACAGTAGCGGCCGCAAAGGACCCATCATTTAACTCAGCGGTTCTCAACCTGTGGGTGGCAACCCCTTCGGCGGTCGAACGACCCTGTCACAGGGGTCGCCGAAGACCATCCTGCATCTCAGATATTTACATGACGATTCCTAACAGTAGCAACATGACAGTGGTGAAGTAGCAACGAAAATACTGTATGGTTGGGTCACAACATGAGGAGCTGTATTTAAAGGGCCAGAAGGTGGAGAGCCACTGCCTTAACGCAGGGAACAAATGAGGAGGCCAACACCTCACGCAGGTCCAGGGCGCAGACAGGAAGTGCAGGGGCCGAAACCTGACCGGCCGATTATGAAAGAGATGCGAGTTCCAGCAGGACCATCGTCCCCTCTCACGTGGACACTTTTCTTAAACTGAGCGAACTTGGTGCCGGAAGCACAGCAGGCCATTCCTGCCGACCCCGCACCGCAGCGTCTACCCTCACCGCCGCGGCCGCGCCATTCACGGACGGGAAGGCGGGTCCCACGGAGGGCCCACGGCGAGGACTCCGCACACTGAGCTTCGGGGAGAAGGGCACGCACAGGGCGAGGAAGAGGGGGCAGCACGAAGGGCAGCCACAGACCCGGCAAATCTACAGGCACCGCTGTCAGGGCTGGGGCTGGCTCCAAACACCAGACAAGGGCCCAGGGATCGTGCCGCCCGGAGGAACCGAAGACCCTCGGACGCAGAGATGCTAACGGCCGGAGGGCGGCCGCTCAGGAACAGGCGTGGGACCGCAACTTCAAAGCCGGAAGGAAGGGCGACAAATCCGAAAGCTTATCCGCCGTGGAGGCAGGACAAGGCGGGAAAGGAGCAAAGACAGGGAAACGTAGAAGGACGTGGCGGGAACAGGTTCAGGTACAACAGGAAGCAGACGGAACCGGCCCCGTGTTAACAGGCTGCTTAGGTCACGTGCAGACCACAGGCCGCGCTGCTTCCACGGGAGACGTGCAGCCCGCACGGGACCTGCGGCTGAGGGCGGAGGGACAGGCCGCATCTTCTACCGTAAAAAGCGGCTCCAACACAGAGCCCTCGGGGCTTCAGAAGGAGCCATTTCAGAGGCGACGGGCCCGCCAGCCTGCTCGCTCCCCACGCCAAGGCTCCTGAAGGGAAAAGAATTCCCCAAGAAAACGCCGGGCCCACAATCTCAGCGTAAGACGCTCAGACGCCTCGCACAAACAGCCACGCAAAGCGAGAAGAACAGCAAACACGTGAACGAAGGAACAGGCGTGGAGCTCGTAGACAGAACACAGGGAAAGCGAGTGCCGGCTCTGGGGGTGGGGGGTGGGGCTCCTGGGCACCAGGCCTCTTTGGGGAGAAAAATGTTGCAAAATAAGGTTGTGGCGATGGCTGCACAGCCCTATAAATGCACTAAAAGCCACTGAAGTGTACACTTTAAATGCGTCAGCTGCATGGTGAATCAATTAGTATATCTCAGGATAGCGGGTCAAAACTATTTTTTAAACTGTGACTACAGCCCTAGCTCGTTTGGCTCAATGGATAGAGCATCAGCCTGCGGACTGAAGGGTCCCGGGTTCGATTCCTGTTAAGGGCACATGCCTGAGTTGTGGGCTTGATCTGCAGCAGGGGGCGTGCAGGAGGCAGCCAATCAATGATTCTCTTTTCTGTCTCTCTCCCCCTCTGTCTCTCCCTTCCTCTCTGTATATTTAAATAAATAATGTGGCTTATGAGCGAGGCCACCAGGGAGGACTCTGCACACAGCGGAACACAGCACATGCAGCAGACTCTACAGAACATTCGCAAAAACTCCCCGTGCAACGCCTCAACCAGACCTCAACAGATGTGAGACAGACACTGTCTACCTCCAATGAAATAAGTGAGCAATCAACAGGAAAGATGGAAAGAAACCTATGTTTTGCATCTAAAAGACACCCCTTTAAAGAATTTGTGGCCGAAGAAAACAATCATCGTGGAAAGTATGAAACCCCTGGGACTGCATCACAGCAGAAGCACTCACCGCCCAGGCAGCCTGCGGGAGGGCGGGCGGGAGGCCGGTCAGAGGAGCGCGTGTAGGAGAAAACAAGGAAGGCCTGGACGTTCCACCCAAAAGAGGGTAAGAGACTGACTAAGGGGAAACAGCAGAAGGCAGTGTCGGAGAATTGTGGCACCGTTTACCGTGACGAACCGTTAGAGACAGGATCACCTTACGATGGAGACGTAATTAGAAACGGCAAGACCCCGACCTGTACGATGGTGGGACCTCGTTTTTATAAGAAACACTAGTGCTGAAGCCGGTGTGGCTCAGTGGACGGAGCGTCGGCCTGCGGACTGAGGGGTCCAGGTTCGATTCCGGTCGGGGGCATGTACCTGGGTTGCGGGCACATCCCCAATGGGAGATGTGCAGGAGGCGGCTGATCGATGTTCCTCTCTCATCGATGTTTCTAACTCTCTGTCTCTCTCCCTTCCTCTCTGTAAAAAATCAATTAAAAAAATATATTAAAAAAAAAAAAAAGAAAAAAGAAACACTAGAGGCCCGATGCATGAAACTCGTGCAAGAGCAGGCCCTCCTTCCCCCGGCTGCCGGCACTGGCTTCCCTCTGGCACCCGGGACCCGGGCTTCCCTCACAGCCCGGCTTCATCCGGAAGGTCGTCCGGTCTAATTAGCATATTTTGCTTTTATTATTGTAGATACAGCTTCGTGTTAGGAAAATGGCCGGCAGGAAATAAAAAGGTGACTGGTTTAATTTTCCTCTTTGCTCCTTTGTGTTGTTGAAGTTTTAGTATATCTCTACTGATTTCAGAAAGGAAGGGAGAGAGAGGGATGGAAACATCCATGATGAGACAGAATCACTGATCAGCTGCTTCCTGCACCCCCCACACTGGGGATCGGGCCCACAACCTGGGCATGTGCCCTGACCGGGAATCAAACCCTGACCTCCTGGTTCACTGGTCGATGTTCAACCACTGAGCCACCGGCTGGGCATGTGGTTGAAGTTTTATATAAAGGATATGTGTTACGCCCCTGGCTGGTGGCTCAGTGGTTAGTGTCAGCCTTGCACGGAAGAGCCTTGGGTTCGATTCCTGGTCAAGGAATGCCTGGGCTGCAGGTTTGATGCCCAGCCCCGGTCTGGGCATGTGCAGGAGGCAACCACATCGATGTTTCTCTCTCTGTCTCTCTCGTCCCCCTCCTTCCCTTTAATCTTCTCTAAAAAAATCAATAGAAAAAATATCAGGATTAAAAAAAAATTTACTTTCATAATCAGAGAGAAAACAAAACCGATTTTTTAATAAAGAAAAAAAATGCATTGAGAACAGGAAAATGCGTGTGCCCTCGCCCTCGGCAGCCACCTAGCACGGACAGAACTGCGGAGGCCTGAATCGGGCTGGAATCGGTAAACTTCAAGCTGCAGCTCTCGCGCCCTGATCACTTCCTCACCCTGGTGTGACCCCAAGTAGCCAGGGGGGTCTTCAGGACGTGAGGGAAGGGCACTGACCAGATGGGGACCCCTCCTCCAGGACAGGGGAGCCCTGTGCACCCTCTGGCCTCTGGGGAAAGTCAAGAACAGCGCCCCTTACCTGCTTCAGTTAGGGTTTTAAACCAGTCCAGCAACTTCTCCAAGCAGGTGTCATCTGCCACGGGCTGCCTGGGGTCTGTCAGGGCCGCACAGAGAGCCGGGAGCAGCTGGGCGCACTCGGGGTCCATGACGAGGCCGGGGGTCCTGCAAAGTAAAGGTCAGGCCCGGCCCGCACCAGCCCTAGTCGCAAGCAGCCCCCCTGCCTGCTCAGGGCCCAGGGCTGCCAGACGGCGGGCGGGTCGCAATGATCCCGGCCCTGGGGTGATGCAGGCACCCAGGCAAAGCCTCAGCCTGGGGGGGGGGGGGGGGGGGCGGGGCGGTGCCTGGGAGGGAGTCCGTCTGCTGTAAACCACGAGGCCTTAGGTGGAGCTCCAAGCTGCCAACCGTGGACTCTGGTGAGAGGGTAAGAGCATGATGCTCACCTAGGCTGCAGGCGGGCCAGAGATGGGGTGCGGGTACGAGCCGGGTGTGCACCTGCGATAGTCCCGCCCCTTCCGGGGCAGCTATGTGCACAAGTGCGGCTCAGCCCGGGGTCAGCGCGTCTGAGTCCGGGAACACTGCGGCCAGCGGTGTGTGTCCACACTGCCCGTCCCTCTCGAGCCGGGTGTGCACCTGCGTGTGGGGCCTGGGCGAGGCCGGGGGTGGGGGTGGGGGCCCTCGTGTAAACGCGGGCCTTCGCCCGAGGTCCCGATCCCGCCGACCTGCACAGACACGGGGACCCTTCCGCACGCAGCTCATCCACTCCGGTCCGTCCGCCGCCGAGGCCCCGCCCTCGCCCACAGGCCCCGCCCCGCAGGCCCCGCCCAGGGCCGCGCCACTTGCTAAACCTGGAGGGGGGAGGACGGGACGGCGGGCAGGGGGAACCGCGAGAGCTCCCGCGAGACCACTCTAGAGCTCGGGGGCCCGAGCTTGGGAGCAGGATCAACCTGAAAAGCGTCGGGGGCAGGCCTGCGCCAAACTGGTCGCCCTACAGAGGACATCCCCCCGCCGGGATACTCAGTGGTACATGCCAGAGCGTCCGACGGGCGTAGCGCCAGGAAGGCGGGGCTCCCGGAAGGGGCGGGACTATCCCCGGAAGGGGCGGGACTGTCCCGGAAGAGGCGTGGCCCACCCAGGCACGGGACCTCTGGGCTGGGCTGGGGGGTGGAGCACGTGCCCGAAAGGGGCGTCTTCACCCTGGAGGCAAAGTCTGCGGTCGCTGGGCCCTCTGGAGCCCGCCGCTGCCCGAGGTCCTCCAGGCCCGCGGATAAAAACAAAAATAAGGCTCATCTGTACAGAGTCAGTTTTCAGCAACATTTTGGGGGAATACCTGACCTGCAGGTACAAGGAAATGGGAAGCAGAATTCCTATGTGTATTAAAACGAAGTAAAAGGAGGCTTTTAACACGTGAACGCTGATGGAGGACCCACTTGGGACCACACCCTGCTGGTCCTCACCCTCCCGGCCCTCAGAAGCACTTGGGTGCAGAGGTCAGACCGCCCTGGGCTGGGCTCCTATTGGAGAGCGGGGCTGGGGGAGGGAGATGGCGCTGCGCGAAGAGCCTCGCTCGACACAAACTCGGCGACTCCGCGCCTCCAGGCGGCACCACCGCCGCCCCTCCGACGAGGAAACGGGCGCAGAGCGGCTCACGGGCTTCCCGCGGGGAGGGCGGGGGCGCCGTGCGGACTGCAGAGCCGGAGGCCGGGGCCCCGCCCGCACCTCCGGGAGCGCTGCCGTTCGGCCCGCCCGCCGGGGTTGCCGCGCATGCGCACAGTCGGCCGGCTGGCCGGGCGCCACATCCGGGCCCGCGCGGTTGCCATAGCAGCGGGGTCGCGGCGGGCGCACGGACAGGTCTTGAGGTGGCGGGCCAGGCGGCCCGCGGAGCCCCGGAACCGGACCGCTGCGCCCGCAGCGCCACAGCCATGTCGCTGGGCACCGGGGATCCGGCTTCGGAGACAGTAAGCGCGGGGGGCGGGCCTCCTCGCTCCCTCCCGCTCGCGGGTCCGGCGGCGGGGACGCGGACCGGGGAGGGCGCACGCCGCGGCCGCCGGTGACAGCTGCCGGGATTGTTACCGCATAAGAGCGGCCCTGCGGCCCCCGCCCACGTGCGGTCGGCGGGGCCTCGCCGCCCCTCGCCCGCCTCCAGCATCTCGGACCCCGCCCGCCTTCGCATCGGCCGCCGCCTCCAGGAAGTCCTCCTGGACGCAGCGCCCTCGCCTGGGCGCCTGGGAGGCCAGGCGTGTGCGGTGCCCGCGATCGCGGCCCGCGGGCGACGGAGCTCACTGTGAGTGTTCGCCCGGCCCGTGCCCACCCGCTGCCTCTAGGGCCGGGGCGCGGACGGGCCGAGCGGCCGAGCCATCCCGGTGGGAGGGAGCTGGGCGCTGCCCAGCGCCGATTGGAGAAGGCTTCCCGGAGGCGGCGCCGCCCCCCTTCCTCCCTGGGAGCGGAACCCGCGGCTCTCGGCACTCCCGGTACCGGTGCTTCGGGCCCAGGACCTGGGGGACGTCTTTGGGAGCAGCGCGCTCCCCAGGGGGAGCGAGGCCGGGACAGATCACCGAGCGGTCAGACGGGACGCAGCAGGGGCGGGGGTCAGGAGCGGTGGCCCCGGGGTCCCTGGGGCAGAGGGGCAGCCGGTGCCAGGCCCTGCGTGGGAAGCTGCAGGGGTCGCCGGCCCGTGGGGGACAGGCAGCGCGGAGGGGCCGACCTCGCGGACCAGGCAAGGCGTTTGAGTTGTATTCGGGGCGTGGGAAGCTACTGGCCACGGGACCGGCCCCCGGGGCCGTGCTCCTCGGGGCAGTGCGCCCAGGAGGTTCCTGCTGGCCCCTGGGTCAGGGCCCTGCCCCCTGGGAGGCCGCCCTCTGGTCCTGCCCGTTATCCTCCTTCCTCTTGGGAAGGCCACTTCCTGGGCTGTGATGCCCATCAGAGAGAATGTGGAGACCTGCCCGGAGCCCAGCCACCTCCGAAGCCAGTCCGTGCTCGTGGATTTCCTTCCCAGTCTTTTTTCCGAGCGTCTTTTTTTTTCATGCAGTTTTTTTTTTTAATATATTTTATTGATTTTTACAGAGAGGAAGGGAGAGGGATAGAGGGTTAGAAACATCGATGAGAGAGAAACATCGATCAGCCGCCTCCTGCACACCTCCCCACTGGGGATGTGCCCGCAACCCAGGTCCATGCCCTTGACCGGAATCGAAACCGGGACCTTTCAGTCCGCAGGCCGACGCTCTGTCCACTGAGCCACACCGGTCAGGGCTTCATGCAGTTTTTAAAATTGAGAGATGTAGACTGTTTTGTAACCTTTGCCACTTAATTTGTTGTTAGCAGTTTCCCACGGCCACGCATTTTCAAGAACATGACTGACGTTGTTTATTTATGTTTTAAATAACGGTTTACCACTACTTGGTAACTTTACCTGTTCTTTGTAACGACATCTGTGAATCAGCTTCAATCTTTTTTTTTTTTTTAATTCTCACCCGAGGAGGTTATCCATTGATCTTTAGGGAGAGTGGAAGAGAGAGGGAAAGACGGAGAGAAACATCGATGTGAGAGAAACACATTGATTGGTTGCCTCCTGCACACGCCCCAACCGGGGCCGGGGATGCGCCTGCAGCCAAGGTACGTGCTATTGCCCGGAATCGAACCCGGGACCCTTCGGTCCGCAGGCCGACACTATCCGCTGAGCCAAAGCCACCAGGGCTCGAAAACATGACTTTAAGTATCTAACCCAGGGGTGGGCAAACTTTTTGACTCGAGGGCCACAATGGGTTCTTAAACTGGACCGGAGGCCGGAACAAAAGCATGGATGGAGTGTTTGTGTGAACTAATATAAATTCAAAGTAAACATCATTACATAAAAGGGTACGGTCTTTTTTTTTTTTAGTTTTATTCATTTCATCCGGCCCGCGGGCCGTAGTTTGCCCAGGGCTGAACCTGTGGCTACCCCCGTTTTATTGACCATGTCCCTGCTTTCGCTCCTTCCCTTCATCATTTGCTATTAGAAACGCTCTTTCGCATGCGTTTGTCAAGCCCCTTACACCTGCCAGGCTCCGAGGGCACAGACAGAACGCAGCCTGTGCCGGGCCCTGGGAGACGCGGTGGGGGCACAGGCGGGCAGCGGTTTCTCCGCTAAGCCGGGATCTGTTTCACCAAACGGGCACCTTGCGGGGCAGGCTGTCCAGCCCGTCCAGGCCCAGCCCCGGCCAGGCAGAGCCGCTGAGCTTGCTGGTCACTTCCCAGCACTCACCACCTGAGGCCCTGCCCTCCCGGTCTGTGACAGGCCCGCCCCGCAGGGCCCCAGGGTGCCATGGAGCCCGGGCGTGACCACCAGTGATCTCAGAGCCAAGCGGGGACGGGTTTCAGGCTTTCAGCCTCACCTGCCAGGGGTCCCTCTCGGCTCAACAGAAGCTCCTATTGGTCAGAGGCGGTTAGAGGCCCTAGACCAGCCCGGTTTACCCTTGCCATTGCGTGGGCCCGAGGGTGTGGCTTGGAGGCTGTGGCCACCGTGCGGCAGGGACCGGGGACCTGGACCCCATCGGCCGGCCCGGACCTCACTCGCTGGCCAGGCGGGCCCTGGACCGGGAAGCAGGGCCTTCGCCAGCCCACCTGCCGCAGGGACGTGTGGTTTTCACCGGGAGCGGTCACGGGTCCTGGTGCTCTGATGGAAGATGAGAGAGAGAGCGCTTGAACACGCCGGCCATGAAAGAGGCACTTTCCACAGGGACTGGTTCTTGATCGAAAGTCCCCAGCGACTCGGGACACGCCTGCTGGGTTGAGGGGTGGAGGCGGTTTTTGCTTTGTGCCCGCGCTGTCCCTCCTGACACGCCGAGCAGCCTGCTGGCGGCTCCCACCGGGGCGGGGATTGGGGTTCCTGCCTCAGCGCGGCCTTGTGAGTGTGACCCCCGCGCGGGGGCCAGGCAGGTGCCTGGAAGTTCCACGTGTGCGTCTCTTCCTGCAGGGAGATGACAGTCTGTCGGCGATTACCTTCGACTCCGACTTTGAGACGGTGAGTGGGATCGGGAGGCCCGCGTGGCCCGTGCTGGTGACGTCCCTTCCGCTCCTCAGTGTGCAGCGGGCACTCCCTGCACGGCTGCGTGCGGCCCTGGCGCCCGGATCCCAGATGCTCTGAAAGCGGCAGGTCTTTAGCTGAGTGGCTGGGACTGTCAGTGCCAAGCTTGTGTTCAGAAGGTTCCCATCCTGCATCTGGCGTTGGCCCCGCCCCAGCCCCCAGTTCTGACAGGGCTCGGGGTGAGGTCAGGGCAGCTGTGGGAGAAAGGATGCTGTGAGCTGCACGCGGGGTCCGGGCCAGCCCCAGCCCGAGGAGCGGAGGCAGCAGGTCGGACAGGTCTGGTCCGGGCACCTGTGGACCCTCGGCCCCCGGGTTGTTTGGAGAATGGAGCCGGCTCCCTGCGCTGGTGGGAGAGAGGAGCCGGCTCCCAGCTGGGCATTCCAGCCATCCCGCTGCCCCCATGGCAGCTGACTCCCCACACCGCCCTCCCCCAGTTCTGCAGCCGTTGTCTGGTGGGAGGGCCATTGCAGGGTAAAGAACTGTCCCCCAGCCCTGCTGAGGGACGGGCCAGCAGTCTCGGCTGAAGTCCAACTGCCTGGGACAGACCTGGTGCCTCCGCTGAGGCCAAGTGAGGGGTCCCTGCCGTGGAAGCATGAGGCCACAGGGCCGAGGCAGGCAGCCCAGGGGCGCGGCTCTGCATCGCCACCCTGCTTGTCCCACCGGCTCTCCAGACACACTCCCTCTTCTCCTGGTCATGAGGTCTGAGCTGCCTGAGCCCACCCTGGGGACAGTCACACCGCCATCCAGGCCTGAGGACAGTTAGGGGGGCAGGTCCACCGCTTGTGCAGCATTTCCAGCTGAATTTAAGGCTCCCACATCCCCCGTGTCTGTGATGTGACTGGAGCCACCACACCTTGGGGACCCTCCTCAGCTGCAGCCCATGTGGGCCCCGGGTTTGGTGGCACCCCCTGAGCCACGGGGGCCCTGGGTTCGGTGGCATCCCCTGAGCCACAGGGGCCCCGGGTTCGGTGGCACCCCCTGAGCCACGGGGGCCTCGGGCTTGGTGGCACCCCCTGACCTCATAGCTTCTAGAGTCGCCGTATTACTGCAAGCCGGGACCTCATAGGCCCCGGGTTTGGTGGCACCCCTGAACCAAGTGGGCCCTGTGTTCGGTGGCACCCCCTGAGCCACGGGGGCCCCGGGTTTGGTGGCACCCCTGAGCCACGGGGGCCCTGGGTTTGGTGGCACCCCCTGAGCCACGGGGGCCCCGGGTTTGGTGGCACCCCCTGACCACATAGGCCCCGGGTTTGGTGGCACCCCCTGAACCACCTGGGCCCTGTGTTCAGTGGCACCCCCGAGCCATGGGGACCCCGGGTTTGGTGGCACCCCCTGACCACATAGGCCCCGGGTTTGGTGGCACCCCCTGAACCACCTGGGCCCTGTGTTCAGTGGCACCCCCTGAGCCATGGGGGCCCCGGGTTTGGTGGCACCCCCTGAGCCTGTGGGCCTTGCTCTGCTCGGCCTGCAGGTCAGTCTCTCCGTCACTGCCCTCACACCCCACCCAGAGCAGCCAGGGTTGGGCCGGGCGTGGGACTCACCTGCTGCCCCCGGCTCTCCTTTCTTCCAGAAAACAAAGAGGAAAAGTGGCCACAAACCTCCATCCACATCGCCCAGTAAGTACAGCCGGGCGCCTGGCCCGGGGGGCATCCTGGGTCCTGGGAGGGAGACCCAGAGTTGTGCCCACGGAGGGTCGTTGAGCCACGGAGGGAGTCCCCGCCCAGCGGCTCCTGAGCCGTGGCCCGAGCCTTCGAGCCGCCAGCACCGCACTCCTGGGCCTCCGGCTCAGCAACCCGGGAGGAGCGCGTGGTGGAGGCCGGTGCCGCCCTGACCCTGCGCTGGCTTCTAGAGTCGCCGTATTACTGCAAGCCGAGGACCGCGGCCAGCGGGCGGCCCCCGAGGACGGCGGCGAACATGCCCCTGGGAAGCAGGACGCCTCTGACGCCACAGAGGCTGTGGCTGGGAAGTGCCAGGCAAGGTCCGTGCTCCCCAACAGTGGCCTGCGGCTCACAAGGGGGTGCAGGCGTGGCGGGGGGGTGAGAGGGTTTTAACCGTACCAGACTGAGGCCCTGAACCTAACTGTCCCCTATGCCTGGGCTCCTGAGCATTGAAGAGAAAAAACCAACATGATATAGAAAAATGTTAGTTACATACAAACAAGTGGTTAGAATAAGATGGAACTTGGAGACATTGTAGAAAATAGGTCTAGGCAAAGTACCGGAAATTAGGTACAGCGGTATAGCGGCAGATTCGGAAATTACCGAAAATCGGTACAGCGGTCTGGTAGGGTTAATGTGACTTGTCTGGAAAATTCACATGGATCTTGAGACGTGGAGCCTCCTGGCTTTTACGAAACACAGAGCTGGTCTGGGCCGGTCTCCGTGGTGACGCTGTCCGGGTCTCGTGCTGTCGGTGCCGCGTGGAGGCGGCTCCGGCCCTGCGCGCTGTCGGGGGTCGGAGTCCGTGAGCTGTGGGCAGCGCACTGACGGGCAGCTGGACGGGGCGTGGGCACACGGATGCCGTGGGTGCGGCAGCAGCTGCATGGTGGGCGGCTCTCCTCTCTGAGGGCCGGCTGCTGGCGCCTGCTCCTCCGCCCCTGGTCCGAGCCTTCCCACGAGGAGGGTGAGAGGAGAACCTCCACTTCCCCCCTGGGACCGGCACAGTGACCGCCCCCAGCCAGCAGGAGCGGCACTCCCCGGAGGCAGGCTTGCCTGGGAGCAGCGCCCCCTTTCTCCACCCCCCACCCCTCCACCCCCGCCTCCCAACCACCTGCCGGAGGCGCTGAGAAGCACTGAGAGCAAAACGTTCAGACCCAGGCGCTCAGCCAGCAATGGGACGGGGGCCACGTGACCGAGCAGGAGCAGAAAGGGGTGAGAGTCGGGCTTCCTCTATGGAGTGTCCCGAGGACAGTGACCCCGAAAGTCCATTCTGCCCCCAGGAAGTGGCGCTCCAGACGTAATAGCGACAGCGTCCCGGGCCCCCCGTTCCCGCCTCCCCACACAGTCTTAGTGACGGCCGTAGGAACGGCTAGAGGTGGGCATCGCAGTACCACGGAGAGGCCAGGGCTTACAGCGGAGGCTTGTTCTCGCGCCCCTATCTCCTGTCGGGCCTCTCCCGCGTGCCCCACCCCCCCCCCCCACCGCCTGGGCACCTTGCACACGTGGGTCCGTGTCGGGCCAAGCGCCCCTCACTGCCTGGCAGTGGCATGGAGCCCTGGGCCGGATTGCTTGTGGTCTTTGTTTTGTTGGCTGTTTACAAGGTACACGTGCCCCTTCCCTCGACTCCGCCCCAGCCCTGCACTGTGGCTCCGCCCCCAGCCTTGTGGTCATGGCCATTTCCATTCCTTCTGGGGAACAGATTGTGATTGGACTAAAAGCACTGAGAGATTTCCGCTCTTTATTCTTAAGGATAATTTTATTAACTTCCAGGTTTTCCTCCAGATCTGGCTAAGAGCTCCCTCCTTCCCAGGTCTTTCACAGGCTGTGTGTTTCCTCCAGGTCTCGCCCCGGGGACGCCGGTCTACAGAGAGAAGGAGGACATGTATGACGAGATCATGGACTTGAAGAAGGTAGCGTCTCTACCTGCTCCTGGCGGGTTACCCAGCCATGACGGGAAAGCGGGGGTCTGTGCTGGGCCTGGCCATGGGAGAGCGGGAGCGTGGCCCCGGCCGGCCCTGGCTGGTGACCCTAGTGGAGGAAAGGCCCGCGCCCGCGTGTCTGCGCCCTGCTCTGCGCACGGGGAGGCGGGCCCTGCAGAGCCCTTTGGCCCCGAGACCGGCCGGCGATCCCAGCGCTCAGTGCTTTACGCCTCCCGTTCGTGTATTTCCTTGATGCTAACGGGCGTTCCCACGCACTCGGCCACTCTGCACAGCTCACAGCTGTTATCGGGTGGTGACCTTGAGACTCAGAGAGGGCGGCGGTCTGTCCAAGGTGAACACTCCAACCAACGGAGCCCCCCCAGGGCCAGCTCCTCTCTAGCTGACCGTTTTGACGGCATCTCTTTCTCAGCCTTTTACTTTGAACCTACCTACCTCGTTAGTTTAAAGGAGTTTCTGTGGACAGCCTATGATTGGGTCAGGTGTTTAGACTACTTTGCAATCTCTGTCTTCTAATTGGCCTGTTTAGATCATTTACATGTAGTGTAATTGTCGCTATATTAAGAGTTAAGTCTTCCATTTTGTTAAGTGTGTGTGTGTGTGTGTGTGGCCTCATTGCCACTGGACGATGGAAAGTCCTGACCCTCAGTGGGCCGCCTCTGACCTCCCACACCTGCCCCCGGGAGGAGGGCAGCACCTGCTGCAGCCGGCAGGGCGGGGGCCGGCCGCACTCAGCCTTCTCCGGCAGGGAGGGCGCGTTCTGTGGCGCTTGCTGGGGTGGGGCAGCGCTCGTCCGTCAGGCCGCCCCCTGCTAGAGAGAGGGCTGTTCTGGCCTGTGCCCGTTGGCTGGTCCAGGCCAACTTCTCCAGCTCGTAGTGCGGCCCCAGCTCCCAGCTCCCAGCTCCCTGCCTCCCCCCAACGTCCAAAGCTGCGCCAGAGAGGCACAGGGCAGCGTGCTCCGTGTTTCCGGGAGCGAGTCCCACTGCTGGTTCCTGACCTCCCAGTGACCGCGCGCCTGCCGGACCCACGGGACACGCGGCATGGCTGCCCGCCGGCCCCCTGGGAGCCCTGGGGGGCTGGTCGGTTCAGACACTGCCCTCCCTGAGCCCACGAGTCCCTGGAGGGAGAAGGGTGCTTCATGTGGACACGGAAAGAACACGTGACCTTGTGCCACGGCCTTTTGGGGGGAGAGTTCCTAGTTGTGTGGGGCGGTTCTGCCCCTCCTGGCACTTAACCCCCGGTCGGCAGTGCCCTCGGTCTCTGTGCTGTGACCCCACCTCCACCCCCGCCACGCACAGCCCTGAGGGCAGCCAGGCAGCTGTGAACTCGGTGCCTCCCACTGTCTGTGTGCACGCGATGTGTGAGCCAGTGTATATGCTCAGTATGTATGCATAGTGTGTGCGTGGTGTGTGTGTGTGTGGTGTGTGTGTGCGTGGTGTGTGAGCCCAGTGTATATGCTCAGTGTGTGTGTGCATGGTGTGCGGTGTGTGTGTGATATATGTCTGTGTGTACCTGGTGTATATGTGTACTCTGTGTGTGCATGGTGTGTGTGTGCTCGTGTGTGCATGGTGTGTGGTGTGTGTGCACAGTGTGTGGTGTGTGTGCACAGTGTATGCATGGTGTGTGTGCGCATGGTGTGTGGTATGCGCATGGTGTGTGGTGTGTGTGCATAGTGTGCGGTGTGTGTGCACAGTGTATGCATGGTGTGTGTGCGCATGGTGTGTGGTGTGTGCACAGTGTGTGGTGTGTGTACATAGTGTATTTGTGCACGGTGTGTGGTATATGTGCACAGTGCGTGGTGTGTGTGCACAGTGTGTGCTCGTGTGTGCACGGTGTGTGCTCGTGTGTGCACGGTGTGTGGTATATGTGCACGGTGTGCGGTGTGTGCGCGCACGATGTGTGGTGTACATGCTGTGTGTGCGCACGATGTGTGGTGTGTGTGTACATGCTGTGTGTGTGCACGGTGTGCGGTGTGTGTGCACGGTGTGCGGTGTGTGTGCATGGTGTGCAGTGTGTGTACATGCTGTGTGTGTGCACGGTGTGCGGTGTGTGTGCATGGTGTGCAGTGTGTGTACATGCTGTGTGTGTGCACGGTGTGCGGTGTGTGTGCACGGTGTGTGTGCACGGTGTGTGTGTGCACGGTGTGCGGTGTGTGTGCACGGTGTGTGTGTGCACGGTGTGTGGTGTGTGTACATGGTGTGCAGTGTGTGTACATGCTGTGTGTGTGCACGGTGTGTGGTGTGTGTGCACGGTGTGTGTGCACGGTGTGTGGTGTGTGTACATGGTGTGCAGTGTGTGTACATGCTGTGTGTGTGCACGGTGTGTGGTGTGTGTGCATGGTGTGCAGTGTGTGTACATGCTGTGTGTGTGCACGGTGTGCGGTGTGTGTGCACGGTGTGTGTGCACGGTGTGTGTGTGCACGGTGTGCGGTGTGTGTGCACGGTGTGTGTGTGCACGGTGTGTGGTGTGTGTACATGGTGTGCAGTGTGTGTACATGCTGTGTGTGTGCACGGTGTGTGGTGTGTGTGCATGGTGTGCAGTGTGTGTACATGCTGTGTGTGTGCACAGTGTGTGGTGTGTGTGCATGGTGTGCAGTGTGTGTACATGCTGTGTGTGTGCACGGTGTGCGGTGTGTGTGCACGGTGTGTGTGTGCACGGTGTGTGGTGTGTGTACATGGTGTGCAGTGTGTGTACATGCTGTGTGTGTGCACGGTGTGCGGTGTGTGTGCACGGTGTGTGTGCACGGTGTGTGGGTGCACGGTGTGCGGTGTGTGTGCACGGTGTGCGGTGTGTGTGCACGGTGTGTGTGTGCACGGTGTGTGTGTGCACGGTGTGTGTGCACGGTGTGCGGTGTGTGTGCACGGTGTGTGTGTGCACGGTGTGTGTGTGCACGGTGTGTGTGTGCACGGTGTGTGTGTGTGCATAGTGTGTGGTGTGTGTGCATAGTGTGTGCTCGTGTGTGCACGGTGCGCGGTGTGTGTGCACGGTGTGTGCTCGTGTGTGCACAGTGTGTGTCCTGCCTCCCCTCAGTCGCTGCACATGCAGAGAAGCGATGCAGACCTGCTGAGGACGAAGCTCCGGCGCCTCGAGGAGGAGAACAGCCGGAAGGACCGGCAGATCGAGCAGCTGCTGGACCCGTCCCGAGTGAGTGTCCGCCCGCGGGCGGTGCCCTGGCCAGAGGCGTGGCCGGGCGGTGGGCCTGCCTGCGTGTCCTCACGTCCCGCTCTGCTCACACAGGGCCCGGATTTTGTGTGGACTCTGGGAGAGAAAAGGCCGGACGCTGGCTGGGTGAGTGTCAGCTGCGACCGGACAGGCAGCCTTGCCGCCCAAGGGAGGCGCCTTCTCTCTCGAGCGCCCGCCCGCCCGCCCGGTGAAGCAGGTGCAGCCGAGGGGCTCGGAGCTTCTAAGACCCTCCTCCCGGAGCCCGGCATCGCCAGACGCCGCTGAGGGCCTGGGAGGGGCCGGGAGGAGCCGGAGAGGGTGGGCTGAGCAGCTCCCGCAGGTGGAGTCTGATGTAGGAGGCGCGGTCACGGCCGCTCCCACTAAGCAAGCGCTGGGTGCCGCGGGCACCTGGCTCCAAGCAGGAGCCGAGCAGGAACAAAAGAACCCCCCCCCCCGCCCCGCCCCGCATTATTTAACACACGCGGCCGACGGAGGGACCGGCGATGGCGGCCGTGGTGTGGGCAGAGCTGGGCGGCGACCAAGCTGCAGGAGCGGCGCCAGGCCGGGCTCCGAGGAGGGAGCCGTCCGCCTCAGGCGTGGTTTCTGCTGCAGGTCATCAATGGGCTGAAGCAGAGGGTCCTGCGGCTGGAGCAGCAGTGCAAGGACAAGGACAGCACCATCAGGTGCGGGGCTGCCACGGGGCGGGGGGGTGGGGGGGCTGCCTCATGCAGGCTGGCGTTGGCTCCAGGTTCTCGGGTGCAGCTTGACTTCCCGCCCTCCCCCTCTGCCCTAGGTCCCCCCTCTGTCCCATGTCCCCCTCTGCCCTAGGTCCCCCCTCTGTCCCAGGTCCCCCCTCTGGTCCAGGGCCCCCCTCTGCCCTAGGGCCCTGGTCCCAGCTTGTCTTCCACCAGAAAGAGGGTGACTACTAGCCGTCGCCTGCAGGTGTCAGTAGGGAGCAGTGTTTTCCTTTAGCCTTTCCCGCTGCTGCCACTTTGAAGAGGCGCTTCTCTCCTTAGCCCCTGGGGCTCGCTCTTCACCTGCAGCAGGGACGCGTGGGTCTTGACACAAGAAGCCCTGATGCGTGGCTTGTCCCAGACCCCCCCTCACCCCCCTCACCCCCGTACCCCCCTCACCCTCCCGCCGTCAGAGGCGGGACGAGAGCCCTTCCCGCTGTTGGCATTGCCCTCGTCTCCTCGTGGTGCGTCCGTTTCCCTCTCCGTTTCTTGCTGAACTTGTCAACTTGAGATGTCAGTGCCGATCCCCCTGTGCTCAGGGCCCTGAACTCTGTAACTTCCGTCTGTTCGCGCCTTTCTCTAGTCTGTCCGCAGCTGAGGAGGGAGGAGGATGCTGACGGGACGGGAGAAATAGGTCTCTGTCCTGTTACAACTCCGCCCCCCGAGGCCCAGCTCCAAGGACAGCCTCTCCCTAGCGAAGGCGAAGGCGTCGTCAGGGGTCTGTCCCCTCCCCTGGGAGCAGCCGCCGCCTGGAGGGGCCTGTGCTGCTGAGCGGTCTCCCGTCAGGAAAGGGTCCCGTGCGGCGCCCGCGGCTGGGGCCTCAGCCCTCACTCCCCGCCTCTCTGAGGCCCAGGACAGGCCGCGTCTCCGCCCCGGGGCGGGCTCTGCTGCTCACGCTGAGCTTGGGTTTCAGCAAGCTGCAGGCGGACATGAAGACCACGAGCTTGGAGGAGATGCGGATCGTCATGGAGACGTGCTACGAGGAGGTGGGTGTCCTCTGCCAGGCAGGCGTGGGCTGGTGGCGAGGGAGGGGTCGCTGCTGCCACCATGACCATGAGTCAGGCACCCAGCGCTTCCCTCTCACCGGGCAGAGCTGGCCTGTGACTGCGCTCTGGGGAGGCGTCCGTGGCGCTAGGACTTCACGCCTTTCTCTCGTGTCCACAGATCCACCGCCTCCAGACGCTGCTGGCGAGCTCGGAACCGTCGGGACGGAAGTACGATGATCTCGTGTTACCCTCTCTCCTCTGGGGGCCATCGCCATGGTTACGGAGGTGCCCTCAGCCCCCTGCTCTCTGCCAGCAGCACGTCCCGGTGCCGTCACTGTCCACACCCACCACAGCCCCCGCTCAGCGTCGCAGGCACTGGCTTCCCAGACGCCACGTGTTGGGGAGACACCACGCAGGGTTCCCTGTCCGCGCCCAGACGGCACAGGCTGTCAGCAGACAGGGAGGCGCTGGTCCCGGCGCGTGGCTCGCAGCCTCCGTGGGAAGGACGCTGTGTAGGGCGGGTGGCCTGCTCTGTGAGGGCGGGAGTGCTGTGTGGCCCGTCTGCAGGCGCTGGTCCCGGCGCGTGGCTCGCGGCCTCCGTGGGAAGGACGCTGTGTAGGGCGGGTGGCCTGCTCTGTGAGGGCGGGAGAGCTGTGTGGCCCGTCCGCAGGCGCTGGGTAGTGAATGCCGCGCGGTTGGGGGCGGGCGTGTTTCAGGTGTTGGCCTCGGCGCCTCCCAGGGGCGTGCCGTCTTTGGGTCACGCTGAGCCCTCGGCCGCGGGGCTGCCGCCTGCAGTGGGAAGGTGGCCGCGCACCCGGCAGACCTCGGCGGGCGACACTCAGTGACCGAGGCGGAGGCCGGGCGCAGCGCCTGTCCCACCCGCGCCCACCGTGCCCGTGCCGACCAGGTCACTAACGGGAGCGGGCGGCGGGCGGGGGGCGACTGCTCGAGGCTCTGGGACTAGGGGTGCTTATGCCCCGGGTCTGCAGCTGGGCCTCCCCCTCGGTGCCTGAGGCAGGGACGGAGCCCTGTGCGGGCGCACAGCTTGCTGACGGGGTCAGAGTTCACGTCCTGCGGGACGGCGGGTCTCGGAGCCTGAGCGGCGTCTGGTTCCCAGGCCCGCGGGGGAGCGGAAGGCCGGCCTGCGGCGGCAGCGGAAGCTGAGCGGCGCGCTGCTGAGCCTGTCCCGCAGCGTGCAGGAGCTCACCGAGGAGAACCAGAGCCTGAAGGAGGACCTGGACCGCGTGCTCAGCAGCTCACCCACCGTCGCCCGGACCAAGGGTAGCTCCCACAGCCCCCCAGGCCCTCCCCCCACCGCGAGGCCCCCCACAGGGCAGACACCGCCCCGGGCAGGCCATGCGGAACATGCCGGAACTTAGCGCATGCGGCGTGCCCAGCTCGGGCCTGGGGGCTGGAGACAGTAGTAAACGGAAGCAGGCAGATGCCCTTGTGGTGACATCGTGCAGGGAGGGAGAAGCCGGCAGGTGGGTGTGGGGCAGGTGGATGAGGGCCGGGGCAGGGCCTGCAGTGTCCTCGCAGGGGCTGCTGGTGCCCTGGGCCGGCCTGTGCGCAGTGCAGAGAGGAGCAGATTTGGGGAGAGGGTCAGTGAGGTCAGGGTCAAGGCCTTGGCAGACCGAGGCCTGGTGGCCATCAGAGAGCAGGTGGCTGGGCGACATCACAGCACCTGTGAGTGAGCAGAGATGGGGCCAGGAGTGAGTGGTGACCTGGAGCAGGTGCAGGATGGCGGGGGGGGGGGGGGGGGGGGGGGCGGTCCAGAGGCTGCGGATGGGGACGGCTGTGGGGCTGGCACAGTGAGGACCATGGCCTTGAAGAGCCGTGCCCATGGACCAGCAGGCCAGAGCCCAAGAGGGCAGACTCGGGACTGAGGGTCACCTGAGGCCTAGGAGACGGGTACCAGGGACTCCACAGTGGGAGGGGCAGACCCCCCTGGGGAGAAGCCTTTTGGAGCAGGAACCCGCCCGCCTCACGGGGCCCAGGGCGGTGCCAGGCGAGGGGTGGGGTGGCTGCCGGCCATCGGGCCACTGAAGACGGCTGCACACTGTGTCTTTACAGGGTGTGTGGAGTGGAGCAAGCCCCGGCTGCTGCGGCGGATCGCGGAGCTGGAGAAGGTGAGCGCCTGTCGGCATCCCCGCCTGGTCAGGGCCCGCCCTGCACGGGGAGGGGCGGACGGATATGGGGACAGCGGGGCTTTGCTCCTGCATTAGGGACTGAGCCGGGCGGCCCTGCGCGTGGCTGACTGCAGACAGGCACTGACCAGAGGGGGCGGGCGCCCGGCAGGGTGGGTACAGAGGCCCCAGCGCCTCAGACAGCGGCCGCCTGTGCCGGGTGGCTCCTCGCTGCCCACGCCTCGTGGTGGCTCCCTCAGCGTGTGCCGCCTGAGCTCACAGACTGCCCGCCACGCTGCCCGCTCTCTGATGCCAGCGTCAGACTGAGGGCCCATGGCTGGCGCCCGGGCATCGGAGAGCAGCTCAGGGCCGCCGCGCTGCTGGCTGAGCGAGTAATCCTGTAACTTCATGTCTAGAAGCTGAAACGTAGAACTTTATGATTTGGGGTGTTTTAAAACCAAGCTGTTGGGAAGGACAGGCCTGGAGGCGGCCCCGGGGCCAGTGGCCGAGCTTTTCCGGGCTGAAGGCGCTGGCGCCGGGTGGGGAGGTCGCTCAGAGTGACGCTAACCGGTGCCTGTGCTGCCCCCAGAAGATCAGGTCGCTGGAGAGCCCCCCGCCGCAGGCCCCAGACGGGGGCCGGTCCGATGCCCTGGCGCTCTGCGTGTCCAGCACGTGGGGACACCCGCAGCCGCGCCCCGAGCCCCAGGAGGACGGCGAGCGCCACCAGGACAGCGAGCGCCAGGAGGACAGCGAGCGGCTCCGGGGCGCCCTGCGGAGCCTGAAGGGCGAGCGGAAGGCCCTGCGGGCCCAGCTGCAGGAGAGAGAGTACGTGTCCGAGCGGCTCTGGGCTCGCGCCGCGCTCGTGGGCGGGGGAGTGCTCGGCTCCCAGCCGCCACGCATGCTTGGAGGGGACTCAGCCTCTGTTCCGGCTGCGAAATGCAGGCGGCGTGAGTGTGAAAAGGACATTCGTTGGCCATATTGCATCATCGAGAGGGCCTTTAGGGCTGTAGGGGGGCTTCCACGTTCTCCTTTAATCCTGTGCGGAGGCCCACAGGCTCGGTCTGTGTTTATGACTCCGTGCTCGCTAGTCCCCGTTCTGCGAGAGTAACCGAGCCCTGCGTCTTCCGAGGCGAGGCCGCATCGCTCTCAGACCTGCTGCTCAGTGGGTGGCGGGGAGCCAGCACCCAGCACCTCGGCCCCGCCCACCTGGGGGCTGGTTGGAGGCCGGGGCCCAGACCTCAAATCTGATTGGTGTCCACTGAGACCCCTGGTGCCCGCGCGCACATCCAGGCCTGGGGAGGACTCCGGGCTGCGGTGGCTGAGTGCCCTGCTTCTGTGACCGCGGAGTCCACGCCCTGGCGCCGCCCGCTGCTCCCCCGCAGTGGAATCTAATAGCGCGTCCAAGAGTGAGGTGCCCGGCTCTTCCTCAGTTACTGTGTCAGGGAGCTAAACGCGAGGCTGGTCGCTTTGAGAGGCCATGACGTCTGCGATGGCCTCCTGAGCTGCCGCGTGGCAGGGCAACAGCTGCTCCCCGAGCCCTGCTGTGCCCGCTCTGCCCACCACCCACGTGTGCGATCTCGGTCACACGGGATTCGCGGGACCTCCGACAGGTCTCCGAAAGCCCGTCCTCAGCCCGTCACCGGTGGGACAGGAATGGCCACGTGCGCGCAGCTCCTGGGAGGTGCCTGGGGACGCCTATGCCCAGGACGGTGAGGCCGCCGCGGCGAGTCTGCCTGACTCCACGGTCCCTGCACCCGCTCCCGCTGGCGGCCGGTGCTCAGTGCACGTGGCACAGGACTCGGCCATCCTGCCCCGCCTCCCCTGGGCCCCTGTGTGCTGCAGTCATGAGAGGGCGTGGGCTGTGTGCTGAGCACCCCTGCGGTGAGGCCGGCGGACGACTGACCCGCACGTCTGGTCCTCTGTCCAGTCTGGAGGTGAGGCAGCTGCTGCAGGCCAAGGCCGACGTGGAGAAGGAGCTGGAGGAGGTGCGGCGAGGAGAGGAGGCCAGGCGAGCGCGGGAGGCGGCCCTGAGGTAAGCGAGCGCAGCCAGCGGGCGTGGCCTCTCCTCCAGGTAGGCCCGTCAGCAAGCTGTCCCGGCGCCTCTGCGCCCCCGTCAGGCCTCCCGGGGACAGTGCCTCCCACACGCGCCCTTGTCCACCACAGCCCCTAAGCGGAAGCAACCCAAATGTCCACGGGCGGATGAATAGAGAAAAACCGGAGGTGTCCATACCAGGGCACGAGAGGGACGCAGCCTGACATGCACCCAGCATGGATGGGCCTCAGGACCGTGTCCACAGGAGCGGCAGGCAGACAGGCCACTGATGACCCGACACGTCCAGAGCGGGCCGGGCCGGGCAGGGCAGGCAGTGGTCAGTGGTTGCAGGGCTAGGTCAGGGCGTGGGGGTGACAGACGGGTGTGGGGCTCTGGGGCGATGGGAACCCTCGGGTCCTAGAATTAGGCAGGGGTGGTGGCCCCCAACACCGTGAATGTATGGACACGGCTGTGCACTTTGGCTTTCACATCATGAAAAAGGCCCCCATGTGTAGAAATCTGAGCAGAAACATTTACACTCAGAGCAGTTACTAAGACAGGTTGCTGAAACAAACTTTGTTTTTACAAAAGTTTATTCTTAAATGTACACCCAGACAGCACTCCATTGCAGCTGTAGTAACAGGAGAGGCTCACACAGGAGTGGGATCGGGTCACCACTGCCCCAGGCCCCAGGGACAGCTCCCTTTGCCGGATTTCTTCTTCCCCCCGCAGCCGGGCCCTTCCCCCGGCGGAGGCCCTCCTGTGGCCTCGCTCTCAGCGCCTGGAGTGCCTCCTGCTCCTCTTTCTGCTTCTGCTCGAACCCCTTGTCTTCTCCATCGCCGTGGCCTCTCTGTGGCTGCCCCAGGGGCTGCTGGCCACCTTCATGGCAGACAGGGCGCCGGCCCCTTCCTGGACCCTGCCACCGGGACCAAATGAGCGTTTGTTCTCAGACGAAAGGCTCAGCTTTGGTGCCGGCTGGCGACCAGAGGGCAGGTCACAGCGCAGGGGCGTTCGCGTTCCTTTAAAGCCACAGCGGGCGCACTTCCTCTGTGCACCTGCCCACACCGCATAGTCAGCGCCTCTTCCGTTCTCGCCTGGCCAGAGCGATGCTGGGGGGCCAGCCCCACGTGCTCCCGCCCGACGGGACAGACACCTGGTGCCCCGTGTGGGTGCTGCTGGCAGCTGGGCCACACCCCTCGTCTGCTGCCAGATGTCCACGCGCAGACACTGCGCACCACGTGAGACCAAAGGGTGTCCCTGTCCCCTTCCCACTAGAGAGGAAATCCAAGCACTGACCTGGAAGTGTCAGGACCTGCAGGCAGCGAAGGAGGCAGAGGAAGACGACCCCACGGAGGGGACCACTGAGGTACGGCCTCTCCGGGAGGCTTTCTCCAGCTCGTGTCCCCGGAGCTCTCACTCGGGGGCGAGGATGTCGTTCGTGGCGGCTTTTCTGGGGGTGCCCTGCAGGCAATGCGTGTGGGCCCCCAAGTGCCCCAGTCACAGTCTGACCGTCACAGCAGCCACTCTGGCTTCTCCTTCAAAGCCGGGCTAGGAACGGCCTTCCCCCCGAAGGCCCAAGTCACAGAGGACGAAAGGGCCCAGGAAGCTGGTCCTTCTTGCGCTCTGCAAAGCTGCTGGGCTGCCTCCTGGAGCCCGCGTCCCGGGAGAGCGCCCCCGAGGGCCCGGGCGGCCAAGACCCGCCTGTGCCGCAGTCCGCCGCGGTCCCTCCCTCCATCCACTGGGCGTGCGGGCACAGACCTCTCCCGGCACCAGCTGAGTCAGGCCAGTGACCCCTCCCCCGCGGTTCCCTGCAGGCCCCGGAGGAGCCCGGGCCTGGGCCTGCCGGCAGTCCCTCTCCACAGCACTCGGAGCCCGGCGCCAGCGAGGACAGCCCGTCCCAGCCCTGCGCCTGCTCCGAGCAGCAGAGACACGCGGCCGCCAGCACCCTTCAGGCCCGGTGGAAGGTGTACAGGCGCCAGGTAAGGGCTCCCGGGCCCTGCTGGGCTGCACCCACCAGGCGGTGCTGAGGCCCCTCCCAGCTGCCCAAACCACTGCCCGTTGTTCACCGACCCACTGTCACCTGCCCTCAGACGGGCAGGTCTGTGGTCGGTGCAGGTGACGTGCGGAGGACGTGGGAGACAGAGCGGACACGGCGGAGAATGGCGGGGGGGCGGGGGGGGACCAAACACCACCCCTGGAGGCACGAGCAGCTCCCTGGGGAGGAGTGAGCGCTCGCAGTAGCAGTGGCTGGCCCCAGGCCTGGCAGCTGGCCGAGCCGGCACCTCCTCTCCCTCCCCCGCCCCCGACTGGCAGGGGCAGGACCAGGAAACGGACTCCACTGTGAGTTCGTCCTCGGCTAACTCATACCTTGTCTCTGTTTCAGAAGAGGGAGGCCGCGCTGGACGAGGTGAGCAGGTTTGGTTCCCCGATGCCAGAAAAGGTGAGCGTGGGCAGCTTCACCCTGGTCCCCACGAAATCCCACCGCGGAGACTCGGGTCTGCGGCACTACCCTGCGTGAGGTCGTGTGGCCGCTCCTCCGGAGGTGCGGTGGCGGTGTGCCTGGAGGAGCGGCCACACGACACCAGCTGTGCTCCACGCACACACGGAGCCGCGGGGGGCCAGGTCACCTGTCTGCCCCGGAGGTCCTGGTGGGAGAGGCGCTGAGTCTCGGTGACCGTGCGGTCGGTCGTGAGGGACGCCTGCCTCTGCTCTCAGAGCTTCCGCCCGTAAACCTCCCCTGGCCCGAAGCCGCCACCTTCCTGGGCTTTAACCTCAACTCCGGCCCTCTCCCTGCAGGCGGCCACGGTGCTCCAGGCGGCCTTCCGCGGACACCTGGCTCGGGAGGGGCTATTGGCGAGCCCAGCGTGTGGTCCCGGACCGCCCAGTGTGCCCGGCCTCCCCAGCCAGGTAACCCCCGCCCCTCCCCCCGGGCAGGACCCCGGGCCCCTCCCAGGCTCCGGTCCCCCTCGCCCGAGGTTGTGCCTGCCTCCCTCCCGGCCCTGTAGGCCCCGCCTGGCGCCCTTGGGGTCCAGTTGGTGGAGGCGCTAGGACATCCGCAGAAGGTCCTTCTTGCTATTAAGGCGGGAGCTTAGGCATGAGCGTCCGTGCGCCTGTCCCTGGGGAAGTGGCGAGGTGTCACCTGAAGGGTCTCTAGAGCCAGGCACTAAGGACCTGCAGCGGAAACTGCTGCCTGGAGAGCAGGCGCCGAGCCCCTGACGGAGCTGTGCCCACCTGCTCTCCGGAGGGGGCGCCGGCTGTGCCGCCCGAGGACGGGCGGTTCTCAGGGCTCTCACCCTGTCGTTACGCGCAGAGCCCTCCCTCACCCCACCCTCCGAGCCCCGTTGTCCAGGCTGAGGGCGACCCCAGGCAGGAGGCGGCTGTCACCCTCATCCAGTCAGTCTTCCGGGCGCACCTGGCACGGGTCAGGCACAGGTAAGCTGCCTGGCAGGCCCACTCCATATCCTCGGCACAAGTGCGCCCAGGCGCAGGGGCGAGCCGGGACCACGGCGTCACCAGAGCAAAAGTTGCACCTTGTGAAACTTGCTCCCGTGCCGTGCAGGTGGGTGGGCCACCGTCCTGGTCAGACGGGGAGGGTCAGGTAGGAGAGTGAGACCCGTGTGGCTGGCAGAGCCCAGTTGGTGGACTGGCTGCCCCACGTCCTAGCGCATCCCCCTTTCTGAGGAACCACGGGGCCATCCTGGGCTCGGGCCTCCTGCAGCCACACCGTCCTGAAGAATTAGTGCCATTGCCGGTCACGCGGCCCCTCAGGCAGGACTTCCGGCTGCAGGCACTCAGCCCTCTGAGTGAACTCAGCCCACGGGTGGGGCCCAGGGTGGGTCCGCAGTGAGCTCAGCGGACGTCCCGTACCACAGTGTCTGCTGCCTGGGAAGCGCAGGCCCCTCCCAGTCCCGTGGACGCTGCTCCCTCGCCCCCCACACACCTCCGCTTCTCGGCCTGCCTGGCAGACGGCGGCCCCGCGCTGTTAGGTCTACAGCTTCGCTGTGCAGAAGGGCAGCCAAGTCAGAACTGCACGGTCCGGCGGGGCCGCCGTACGACCGTGGCAGGTCCGCCCTGGGCACTCAGTCAGGCCGGCAGGTGGATGGCGGCCTCACCACCGAGACAGCAGGGAGGGGTGTCTGAGGCCCGGCCTCAGCGAGCATGCAGGAGGCTGACCGAGGACTTGGGGAGCCCCCACGGCCAGCTGTCAGGATGGGGTTCGGCCGGGCGCAGCTACCTGCTGCCCATCCTGTCGGGCCAGTGGCCCGAGGAAGCCAGCGAGCCCGGCGGTGGTCAGCTGCGGTCGCTCTCTTCCAGGACCGGGGCGCTCCCTGCAGCCTCTACCAGATCGGCTATTCCGGCCACACTCAGCGCGCCCTCCCCGCCAGCCCCCCCTGTGGCGCCTGCTGGTAAGTCCAGGTCATTGAGTGTCGGTGCCAAACAGCCACCACCCAGAAGCACAGGACGTGGAGCGGAGTGAGGGTCTCACCTGGCCAGAGCCCTCACCCAGCCTCCCCGTCACAGCTCTGCCCCTTCCCCAGGCTGTGGGAGAGACAGAGCCCCAGGCACTTCCTGGGACTCAAACCCCACAGTCACCTGCAGGCCAGTCACCTGCCAGCACCCAGTCCTAGCTGCGGGCAGGCGTCCTGGCTTTGCTCTCGGCTCCAGCTGGGGGCCCTCCCTCAGCCAGTGCTCCCCGGGGCTGGGTTTTAAGTAAAGAATTGCTCGAGTTTCCTTTCCCGCTCAGTAAGGCCCAGAGCCGCCGCTTAGAAACCAGGGTGGCGGGCCTGTGAGGTCGGAGCCTGGCAGGGCCGCCATGCGAGGTGGCAGCTGGGAATTGCTCCGTGCTGTCCTGGGGATCCTCCCACCTCGTCCTACAACTGGGCAGCTCATCTCCACCTGCTGGAGGGAGGATGAGCCCGGCTGGGTGGAGATCTGAGACTGGCCGGCGAAGCCTGCAGCTTGGGCTGTGGGCAGGCGCCAGCAGGTGCTGTGTCACCGGCAGCCTTTCCCGCTGGCCCGCTGCGTCCTCGGCCTCGGGTGGGAAAGACGGAGTGAGAGGAGGTGGGCAGGCGGGCAGGCAGCGCCGTGCTCCCAATCAGGGATCTACGAAAGGAAGCAGCCGTTGGGGCTCCGAGGGGTCATCGAGGTCTGAGGTGGTGTGAGGGTCGGTGCACAGCGCAGTGGCCGGGATCTGTGCACCCAGCGCAGCGATCGCCTGCAGCGTTTTTCTGAACCGAAGGTGTCGGGAGAAGGGCGGGCGTGAGGGCCCCACCCGGCGCTGACTGCTTCTGGCCTGTGTTTCAGGTCAGGAAGACGGTGAAGTGAGTGGCGGGGACGCCATGGAGGGCCCAGCCCCGCAGCCCTGCCCTGGTGAGTGGGAGGCCGCGGCAGCAGCAGCCATGGGGGCTGGGAAGGAGGCGCCCTCGGCCCAACACCCCTTCCCTGCAGGGGCTGCGGGAGGGGAGCTGAGGACAAGCTGAGCTTGCGCACAGCTCACCCCGAATCCCTCATCGGAAATTGCCACCTCGTCGCCTTTTGCAGCCTTGTCCCGGCTCTCGAACTCCGATATTCTCTCCAAACCTCCGTTTGTAAAGCTCTGCACACAGTCCTGGGACCCCACCCCAGCCCCTGCACTGGGGCGCCGGGCTCCCGGCCCAGCAGACCCCATGGCAGCCTGGTCCTGTGATGGGGCTGCCATGTGCGCACCCGCCTCCCAGCAGCCTCGCCTCCACCACACACAGCAGCGCAGGCGTGTCTCGAGTGCAGCCGGCTCCCCAGAGCCAGTCTGTGTGCCGGTCCGTGAGCCCCGGCTCCTCTGGGTGCCGGCGTTTTTAAGGGAAAAGGCCTGAGTGGTCTTCTCATTTTGTTAGTCCTCGCCTGAGGGTATCTTTCCATTGGTTTTTAGGGAGAGTGGAAGAGAGAGGGAAAGACAGAGAAACATCGATGTGAGAGAGACACAGCGATGGGTTGCCTCCTGCACAAGCTTGGCCAGGGCCTGGGCCAGGGAGGAGCCTGCAACCAAGGCTGTGCCCTTGACCAGAATCGAACCCTAGACCCTCGGTCCCCAAGACAATGCTCTCTCCACTGAGCCAACCCGGCCAGGGCAATGTTTTTAATTTCCTAAGTTTCCACTTTGGTGGTCATTTCCCCGAGAGCCACAGAAGGAAGCCGATGTGGCGAGAGTCCCCCTCATCTCACCGCCGGCTCAGCCACGTTTCCCTCCGATCCCGCAAAGCCGTGGAGCGGGCGCCTTCTCCGTGGGGCCTGCCCCCCACGCACACTGTCCCCTGGTCCCAGGGCCCTCGCCTGGCGGTGGCAGCCCAGGGTGCAGTGGGCACACAGCTTGAGTGGCTGCTGGGTGGTCCTGCCTCCGCCCTGATGGGCGATGCTCAGGAGGAAGCTGGTGGCCCAGGCACAGCATCTGCGCCGCCACCGCCCACCCGGCCCGGACCTGCTGCCAGGGCGGCTCAGGAGCCCCGCCCACACTCAGCCTCCCGGTGCCGGCGCCGGCGCCGGTGCCGGAGCCGGAGCCGGAGCCGGCAAGGCTGCCTCTCCCGGCGTTTGCGTGTCGAAAGGCCCGTGTTCGGAGCTGAGCCGAGAGGCTGGGGGGACTAGGCGGTGACGGGAGAGGCCATGGCGGTGTGACGCGGGTCCGACCGCTCTGGCAGTGACCCTGGGCTTCCTGCCAGGAGAGGGCAGTGGGGTGACCCCTCCCTCCCCCTCTGGTTCCTTTCAGCCGAGCCCCCTCCCTCGTCTGCGCCCTGGGAAGACGTCTCCTCGGACGACTCGGACGAAGTCATCATGGCTCCAGCTCTGCCCACGAAGAGAAGCCCCTCCCTGCCCCCCGCCCTGGGTCCCTGCGGGCGCGCCGCACACGGGGACGCTCTGTCCGCGGAAAGCTAGGTTAGCAGGACAGAGACACTGGGAAGTCACTTACCTTTAGGGAAGGAACAGGACCTGCTCTCCCTCGGCACCTCCGGCTTCTCGTGTGGCTGGTTTGTGTGAGGCCCGAGCGCCTCCCCCTCCCCGTGGGGCCGGTGGTCGCCCCTGCCCGGTGCCCCGTGTCCACAGGGCGGTGTCAGGGCCGGGAGCCACCTTGGCCCGAAGGAAGCTTTTGCACCATCTGTGGGCTCGAGCCCCCCCTCCCTCCCACCGTTACCGCTGGGCCTGTCCCGGTGCAGAGCTGGGGGCAGGAAAGCCCCGGCAGGTGCTGCATGATTCCAAGGCGCCCTCCGCCCAAAGCCGACCTCTGCGAGGCTGTCCCTCCGGGAGCTCCAGGCGATGGGCCCTGCGGGAGCCTCCGGGGCTGGAGGGCAGGCCCTGCCGAGGGGGCGGGCAGGCTCCAGGGCATCCAGAGGCCTGGCCACGGGCAGAGCTGGGAAGGGAAAGGCGGGACGAGCCCTGGACTGGTGTGCTGGGTGTGTGTATGTCCTGTGCCCTGTCCTGGGCCCAGCACTACTGGGCTGCTCCACGCACACGGCCTCGCCGCTGCCCCAGCACACGCCGAGCCTCCCTGACGGCCGTGCAGCGTGCAGCCTGCCTGTGGCCCCTCAGACCCTGCGACTCTTCCCCGGGGATGCCCCTGCCCCTGCCGGGCGCGCGTGCCGAGCTCAGCCTAGGCTGGGACCCAGGGCCCGCCTTCCGCGTGCTGCCAGACTGGCCCCGCTGCTCCCGCACCCAGGTGGGCGCCAGCAGTGAGGCCCCCAGGGGGCAGGGCCAGGGCCAGGTGAGGGAGCAGGGCCTGCGTGAGCCTGGGGAGACTGGACAAGGCCCAGGAGCAGGGATGTGGCCTCAGTGAGCGCCAGCAGCCCAGGTCCTGCGTGTCCAGGGTGGGGGGAGGGGTGGCTCTGGGCCATTTCCCTGCAGCCCCTGTGCATCACCTCGCACTTGACAGCGAGCACACCTGTCTCCCCAGACCCTGACCTGGCAGTGACACCATCAGCCTGCGGAGCTGTGGGGGCACCTGCCGACACGGTCGGGTGCGGGGGGACCACCCCTCAGGCTCCAGGGCACCCCCCTCAGGGCCCGGCTGGCTGTCTATCCCACAGGGTCACCTTTAGCTCACATCCCCCCTCCCACACGGACAGACTACAGACTCGACTCGGGAGGCGGGCGCTGGCGGGAAGTGGCCCCAGACTCAGGCGGGAAGAGGAGGGGCTGACGCCAGGGCGCATGTGGGGCTGCAGGGTTTGTGCAGTGTGTGGTCCCCCAGTGGGGGGGCGTGGCTGGGACAGCCTGGCCACCAGGCCCCAGGCTTCCATGTGTGGGCCCTGGATGTCGCTGTGCTGACCAGGGCTCATCCCCGTGGGCAGGAGGGACGGACATGGTCCTAATGCAGGCGCTGCTGTGCCGTCCTGGAGGAGGAAGGGCCTGGGCGCCGGGAGAGGCAGGTGCCCAGCCCGGCTCTGCGGCCTTAGAAAGCCCAGCTGAGCCCAGGACGCCCTGGGAGCGGTGGCACCTGTTCTCGGGCTCTGAGGACCTGAGAGCGACACAGACCTGCTGGGCCCCACCTCCGGCCTCCAGCAGCTGACCGCCCCTCGTGCTTCCTGAAGACCCCAGGAGTCCCCTCTGAATGTGGCCCTGGACGGTTGGGTGGGCGGGTCCCTGGCTGCACCTCGTTGCTGCGAGGCTCTGGGGAGCGGGGGTCCCCTCTGCTCCTGCTGCTGGCCTTTGTGAATAAACGCAGTTTGCAGCGTATTTGTCACCATCGCCCGTAAACCCGCACATTCAGTTGCTTCCAGGCGTGGGCTGTGGCTCACGCGCAGCCTGTGTGCTGGGCCGCGGGGACGCGTGCTGGTTCCTGGCAGGCGGCCGGTCAGCTGGGCCCCTGCCTCCGGACACCCTGTCCGTCCCCGGTGTCTCTCCTGCTCCCCAGTGAGGACTGAGCACCAGGAGAGGAAAGTGGGTCGCGTCCCCCAAATCCCATTCCACTTCCTCCCTAGCAGCAGGGAGAGTGTGTTCCGGACCAAGTGCAGAGCCGCGGCGAGGACAGGCGGCCCTAAGAGGCAGTGGCCACGTGTCCTGGAAGCGTGGCTTCCCGGCGCCGTGCACAGACGAGGCGGGTCGGTGGTCTGTCCGCGGGCACTGCTGCTGGCCCTTGCACTGGGCAGAGCTGGTCCGAGCCCCCCAGTGACCTGTGGTTGGCCGAGGCGTGTGCCCGAGCCCGTCCTGGCAGCCGATGCCCCCTGTGCGAGCTGGCAGTGGCACTAGGAGACTTGGTGCTTGCAGAGCGCGGTGGGGCCCATGGGGTCGTGACTGCCGAGAGCGGGCACATCAGACGGCCTGCCACGCGCTCCCCCAAGGCCGGGTCAGAGCAGAGGCAGGGGGCTGGGGTCCCAGCTGAGCTGGGCAGGAAGAGTGGGGTGAGGTCCAACCCGGAAACAGAAATAGGCGGCAGGTACACGCTCAGCCCCCGCTTCCCTCTGGGGAGTTCTCTCCACTTAAAGCCCCCAGCCCCTCGGCCCCGGCCCCGGCCCCGGCCCCGCCCCCTCGGCCCCGCCCCCTCAGGTTGGGCAGGGAGGGTGGCCGCCCTGAGCGGACTGTGCCATGGAGCTGGGACCTCAGCCCTGGGCAGATGGGGAGGCCGCCCAGTGGGGCTCCGGGCTCCGGCTCCACTGCCCCGCGGCCATAGCAGAACCCAGGAGGGTCCTGGCTGGGGTGCTCGCTGGCCCCCCCGGCCAGGCTGGGACCGCCTCCGTTTCCCCATCCATTCACGGAGGGAGCCATGTCTCTGGGAGGTTGTGAGCCTGTCCCAGCCCGGGGACCACCTCCCGAGGGCCTGGCCGCGACAGCGCCCACGACGTCATGGCCGTGCTCCTGTCCGGACCCTGCTCACCCAGCGCCTTGCCGGGAGGGAGGGGCCAGGTGGAGGCAGAGGGGGACTTTGGACTTGGTCCTGAGGCTGGGAGCTGGGAAGGGCAGCAGGGGAGGGGCAGGCAGATCCCTCATGGAGGCCGGGGGCAGCGGCAGGGCCGAGGGCGTGGCCGTGCTCCAGGTGACCTCGAGCAGGACATTGGGGTCATAGTCCCTGGGCCCCAGGGCCCCTAGGAGAGGCAGCCCGTCCTGGGACGGCGACCCTGGCTTCCCCTGCCCGCCCCGCCCCCCAACACACTCACACCGCCTGGGAGGGAGGGAGGGAGCAAGGTTGTCAGAGCCGGGCTCTGAGTCTGGGCGCCCAGGGCCCCCCATGGCACAGGCCCTGCTGTCAGCGTGACAGCCCCAAGGGCACGTGGGGAGCCGCATGGGGACAGGCTTCGGGGGGCAGGAGGCTGGCCTCCAGCTGTGGGGGGCGGCGGGGTGGAGGGGAACCCCTGCTTTGCAGACGAGGAGACCAAGGCTCAGACAGCTGCCTGCTTGAAGGGCCTCTGCCCCGGAAAGGGACGCTGTCCCGGGCCGCCCACGTCCAGAGCAGCCGGCAGGCTTAGGAGAGGACGGGAGGCCTTTCCTCCACGACCAGGCCGCCCTCCGCACGGCTGGCCGCCTCCCAGGCCCGAGAAAGGCGGCATCCCCCCAAGGCAGGGCCAGCGGCTGGCATCCCCTCCAGCAGCTGCTGCCGCCGTTGCCCCAACGCCGGTGGAGCGAGGGTGGTGAGGCTGCCGGGAGGAGGCCATACCGGCCTCCACGCCCACGCCCATCATCCGGTCCAGCCCCTGCCCATGCCCACCAGGGCGCGAGGGGGGTTACTGGCTGATGAAAGGACGCCCCTTGAAGGCTTCAGACGTTACAAAATCTTCCCCCGTTGTGTGAGCCCAGAATCAGAACCGTCATGGCCACGGCCCAGCCCGTGTCCACACCTCCCATGTCCACGCCTCCCATGTCCACGCCTCCCGTGTCCGCGCCTCCCATGTCCTGTCTCCTGTGTCCGCGCCTCCCGTGTCTATACCTCCCGTGTCCGCGCCTTGGCCGGCATGGCCTTGGCCAACAAACATCACTAAGTGGGACCCTGGCAGGCCACTCGCGCTTGGGGCTTGCACCCTCTTGCCTCGCTGAGATGCCAGGCAGAGGTGGCCTGCAGGAGCCACTGCCCATGGACCAGCACCAGCCCCGGCCCCCTCGGAGCTGCCATGGGACTCCAGGTGCCGACAGGAGAACAGCCCAGCTGAGCCCAAGCCGCTGGCCCCCCAGGTGGTGAACAAATACCGGGGTTGTGTTAAGCCACCAAGTTCCGGGAGCAGTAGGTAACAGATCCTTCAGCTTTTAAGCCTGCGTCACTCAAGGCTGTGGGAGAGCATTAGACCGGAAATCAGACGGTTCCCATCGTCTGCACCTCGTTCTCGCCTTCATCTCCTCCTCTTAAAACGGGGATGGGGTCGTCGGTGTCGTGAGGGTGAGGCTGTGGCGTGAAGGGCACCGGGTGACTTGCGGGGGCAGACGTCTGTGGACACCGTCCCCCGGGACGGCCTTGCTTCTGACCCAACCGCCAGCTTGGGGAGTTGCCAAAACCAGGCTTCGTTTCGGTGATTTTCGAGGATGATTCACATCGCCGACAGCTGGCATTCCCACGGCTTCCGTTTATTAGCGCAAAGGATGCAGATAACAATCAGACGGAGGGGGAGAGGCAGCGAGAAGGATGTGTGGCCCTGCATTGGTGTGTGACAGACACATGGATGTCACCGTGGCCGGCGTGAGCAGCGCCCGTGGTTCTCCAGTAGCCGGGACCCACCAGCCAGGTGTCTGCGGTGAGCAGGCCTGGCTGGCTGCGGGGCCAGAGCGGCCTCAGCCTGGGCCGCATCGCTGCGGGCGCCAGGGAAACCCAGCCTCCCGCTGTCTCATGAGCTCTATCTCCACGGAAAATATGAACCTCTTTGGGCCACGTCCAAACGCAGGGGATTCCATTGTCCTGGCTTCCGCCCCGGCCCCGGGGGCCCGGCCGCCTGGCCTTTCTCCAGGCTCCACAGGTCTTGGGACAGCCCTCCAGGAGCCTCAGCCCAGCCCCTGCTGGCCGGGGAGCTGGACGCTGGGCAGCGCCTGGCCGGGCCCCTCCCCCTCCATTCTAGATGCTGCCAAGGAGCTCAGGCCTGCGCCCAGGCTTCCTCCTCCCAGTCTCACTCACAAACTCTGCTTCCCCGGAGGGAGGGAGGGAGCGAGGGAAGGAAGGAGGGAGGGAGGGAAGGAGGGAGGGAGGGAGACCCCAAGGGAGGCCCTTTCCCATGCATCCTGTTTGGGGGGGTGGGGTACATTTACATAACCGTTTTAACCATTTCGAGTCTAACTCAGTGGCATTTAGCACATTCACAATGTTGTGCAACCATCACCACTATCTATTCTGGAAATATCTTCACCACCCGGAAAAGAAACCCCACACTCACTGAGCACTCACTCCCACCCCTCGCCAGGCCCCGCAACCTCTGACCCACTTTCCGTCTCTAAGGAGGTGCCCGTTCTGGACGCCACAGTGAACGGAACCCCACTGCCCGTGGAGGGAGGTCTGCGTCCGGCTCTCAGCACCCTGTGGTCCGGGTGCCCTGTTGTAGCCAGTCCCCCCCCCCCACCATCCTTTTCACGGCTGCATAGTACTCCTTGTGGCTGGACTGCCAGGCGCTTCTCCGATCGCCAGCTGACGGGCACGCAGGCCGTTTTCACCCTCTGGCCAGTGCGGACCGCGCTGCTGCGTCCCGGTGTTTTACATGCTTCCCTCATTCCTGTGAGCTAAGCATGACTGTCCTCCCTGTAGCCACGAGCAGGCAAAGCTTCCAGAGGACCTGAGCCCAGCACATGGCGTAGATCCGTAAACAGACGGGAAAGGAGGAGCCTGGGGAGCGGGAGGACGGGGTCCAGGGTGGAGTGGGCCTGGCCCTGGGCTCAGGGCTCTCGGCCGGTGACAGCCAGGGTTGTCCTTCCTGTCCTCGCAGATGGGCCTTCCGGTCCCTGGTGGGGAGCTGGGATGCTGCAGCTGCTGTCGTCGCCTGGGGCCACTTCCTTAGCTGGGAGAGACCGAGCAGTTCCCCATCCGTCACCTCCCCCTGAGTCACCCTGAGTCATTGCGGCTCATCCCTGTGCCCCAGTCCATGGCCAGCACTGCAGACCTAGTCGTCTCTAACTCTCGGGCCGCTGGTGCCCTGTTTCAGGTCACCCAGTCTGTGGCCTGGTTGGAATCTGGTTCCCTAACTGGGTGGCAATCTCATGCCTTCGAGCAACGGCGGGATCTGGGCCTCAGTAGCTCCGTCTGTAGAATGGGACTGAGGCCAGACTCCAGCCACACATCCAGGCCAGGCAGGAAAACCAGGTCTCAATGCTGCAGGCAGAAGGAGGGACTTGCCTCGTGCCCTGCCCCCCATCCCTGGCACCCTCACCCCAGTGTGCAGTTCAGGGACAGGAGTAGGGACACTGCCCTGAGCTCACACAGCTACTCGAGTGGGACTGCAGAGCCCCTGGCCCTCCCAGGAAAGCTCGTTCCCGGGGCTTTTCCGTCCCACGGGGGCCTTCCCACCAGCTGTGGACCCCAGGTGGCAGCAGGCTCGGCCTCAGGGTCCAGATCGGGGCCCTGGTGGGCTCCTCCAGGCCGTGCGTGCGCACTGGTCCCCCTCTTCTCCACCTGCACCCTGTTATCGTCTTCCTCATGGACCCCTTAGGAGAGGTTCACCGACCGCAGCAGCAAGCCGCCCAGCGCATCGTTTCCTGTGGGGCCTAAAGCACCGGGACTGCTGCCTGGGTTCTGGAGGCTGAGGTCTGGGGTCCCGGTGCCGGCAGGTCGGTTCCTTCTGAGGCTGAGAGGCAGGGTGGC